GTTCTTGCAGCCCGTCTGCATCACGGCTCTCGGGCTCGGAGTCGGACGCGTGCACGTGCGCAGGCGAAGCATGTCGACATCAGAATTCGGCGCGCTGCGCGCCGGAGGTGTGTCTTTTTTTGTCTCTGTCTCTCTGTCGGTGTCTTTCTCTGTCTTTCTTTGTCTGTTGGTCTCTCTGTCTCTGGTATCTGTTTCTTTGTTTGTCTGTCTGTCTGTGTCTGTCTGTCTGTGTCTGTCTGTGTCTGTCTGTGTCTGTGTCTGTCTGTGTCTGTGTCTGTCTGTGTCTGTGTCTGTCTGTGTCTGCGTCTGTCTGTGTCTGTGTCTGTGTGGCTGTGCGTCTGTGTCTGTATGTCTGTGTCTGTCTTTGTTTCTGTGTTTGTCTTTGTCTCCTGTTTCTGGCTCTGTCTTTGTTTTTGTCTTTGTCTTTGTCTGTGTCTTTGTCTCTGTTTGTTTGTTTGTCTGTTTGTTTGTTTGTCTGTTTGTTTGGTTGTTTGTCGGTTTGTCTGTTTGTTTGTTTGTCTGAAGTTGATATTGCGTAGGCTAACCTTTGTGAGTTTATGAATTTTGGTTGATATTATAGAGATTAATTGTTATGATTCTGTTAAAAAATAGGGCTTGTTTTTTATGTTGTCGAGAGAGCGAGGTGGAAATTGAAAGATATTGTGTTTAGGTGTGCGTAATACTTAAGATGAATTTTTAAAATATTATATTTTAAATTATATAGGTTGGAGTGTTTTAAGTCTGAGTAATTTAGCGGTAAAGGTCGTTGATATGTAATATTGGGATATGAAGCCCGAAAATAGTTTGGTTGTTGTTTTGGTTTAGTTTTTGGATTCGTTATATGGGTTTTGTTTTGGTTGAAAGATTTATGTAGGAATAAGAAATAATCTTTTAGAGGAGTGGAATGGTTTGTTTTAAAATTGGAATTGAAGTCTTTTTTTTCGAGCTTTCTTTTTGGTTTAATCTTAAAAAAGAGTGTTATAAAATGGTATTTAAGTAACAAGATTTAGGTTAATGACGAGTCGGTGAAATTGGTCGATTTCGTTTTAATTTGAAAGATTCGAATATATATTTTTTAGGTGGATCAAAACCACATTGGCATGGCTTGTTGTAGAACGATGTTTTTGGGAAATTAGAACAATAATTTATTTAGAGATTCCGTTTCTATTTTGGTTGAAATATTGTGTTTGTTTTGTGAAAGTTTGACGATGTTATAAAAATTGGTATGGGGATGGATTTGTTGAGGTTAATAATTTATGAGGTTTATTTTCTCTTTATTTACACAATTATTGTTTATTGATTAAATATTTATATATTGGTATTGGATATTATTGCAAAGGTATCGAGGAAGGACCGGGAAGGCGTCGAGCAAACACCGGGAAGGTTCCGAGAGAAAACCGGGCAGATATCGAGCCATGATCGAAAGCGTCGCACGAAGATGGGGAAGGTGTCGGAAGAAGATTGGGAAGGTGTTATATAATGATCGGGAAAATCTCGAATATAGATAGGGAAGGTTATGGGGAAAGATTAGAAAGGCGTCGATTAATGACCGGGCAGGCATTGATATATTATATTGATTTAGGAAATATATTGAGGTAGGTGTTGCTGAGAAATTGCATTTATAATTCGTCTTTAGATATTTAATTCTTTGGAATTGGTTTTCTAATTTAGTATAATATATAATATTTCGAAATATTTTATTTGGGTAGGGTTTAAGGCAAAGGTTTAAAATCATAGTTATTTATTTTCTCGAAATATTTCGAAATCGTTTTTGTTAAATATTTGTTCGGTCTACTTAATTTTATCTTTGTGAGTATAATCATATATATTTATTTATAATTAATTAAATTGGAATTATTGTTATTTCTATTATTCTTTTTTTTTAAGCTTTATTTCGTAAATTGTTGCAAAACAACGGACCCCTATGAATATATAATAAAAATTAAAATCTAATTATAAATGAAAATATATTTTATGTTTCTAAATCAATTCCATTTAATCATCTAATTAACCACTCCTAAATAGTATATTACACAATTTAAATATATATATATATATCGAGTTATTCAAATATAACATAACAAAAATAATTTTAATAATTTTATTACATATATATATATTAAAAATTAAAATCAATAATAATACCAATAAAACAAATAAAAAATGGAAAACGAAAAGAGAAAAAGAAAGAACAAAAAAGACATAAACGGAAAGACAAAAAATAATAAACAAACAAACAAAAAACAACAAAGAAAAAAAAGAGAGAAATAGAAGGAAAAAGAAAAGAGAGAAAAAGAAGAAAAGAGAGAGAAAGAGAAAGAAAGAGAGAGAGAGAAATAGAAAAAGAGAGAATAAAAGAAAGAAAGAAAGAGAAAGAAAGAAAGAGAGAGATCCATGGCAAGAGGAATAGTTGCTGATGGAGATGCCCGAGATAAAGGCGTTAGCTCCCTAAGGGTGCCTCCAGCCCCGGGAAAGACTAACTAATGCCCCACTAGGTCCTAGGCAAACTATCCCTCATCTTATGGGCGATAAAGTGGCACTAAGGAGAGAGAGAAAAAGAGAAAAAGAGAGAGAGAGAGAGAGAAAAAGAGAGAAATAAAAAATGAAAAAAAAGGAGAGAAAAAAAGAGAGAAAGAAAAATATATATATAAAAAAAGAGAGAGAAAAAAAAAAACACAAGAAAGAGAGAGAAGGAAGTAAGTAGGCAAGCAAAAATAATAATAAAAATAATTAAAAACAATTAAACACGAAAAGAAAGAAGAGAGGCGCAAAGACCAAAAAGAAATAGATTGGGACATATAGAGATGCACAAAGATAGATAGAGAAAGATAGAGATTACGAAATAGATAGATACGAACACACGAAAATAGACTAGAGAGAGAAAGAGAAAGAAACAGAGAAAGAAAAAGAAAACAAAGAGAAAGAAAGAAAGAGAAAGAGAGAGGTAAGCAAGCAAGAATAATGGTAAAAACAAGAATGAAAGGAAGAAAACGGAGTTTAAAAGGGGGGGAGATATAGCACACAACAACACGAATGTGCCATCTTTGTGAATTGATTCGCAGAAATTAAGCACGAATAAACAAAAGGATAAAAACAAAACAGAAATAAATCGACAATGTCAAATAGATAGATATAAACACATAAAAATAGATAAAGAATTACAAAAAAATAAAAAGATAGAGACGAACATTAAACACAAACACATAAGACAAATCGAGATAACTCGAGAGATAGAGAAACACAGACAAATAAAATAGATAGAAATAAAACGACACAAACACCAAAAACAAACAGATTGCGATATATAGAGACGCACGGAAACAGACTAGGAGACCCAAAAAAGGACAAAGATACAGAAACACTCGGCATGAATTTTTTGAGAAATTTCGATTCGGACATATCCGCAAATTTCCCCCCGAGATTTGGCCCGGTAGTTTTTTCTAGAAAACCGCTAAATTCTGCAAGCAATTACGGAGGTTATATCCGGAAATCTAAGAGTTATATCGCCGGAAACGACCCAAAATTCAAGAAAATTTGGCCAGAATACGTCGTGGGAATTCTAAATAAGGCTATTAAAAACCCGCTTCCGGGGCCGTGCGAAAAGGCGGGACCAATTCGCCACAAGTATTATGATTCGGCCGAAATATCGCTCTAACGACTTGCCGATGCACGGGAAATACGATCTCGAGGCCGTACCGGTTTATAGAAAAATATATAAATTTCCTTAATTTTATTAAACCAAAATAATTTAAAAAATCTAAATCGTTCTTTTTATATATTATATTATATTGAAAAGAATTCATTAATTTCATTAATAACAATATTAATAAAAAACAAAGCAAACAAAGGAAAAACCGCATAAAGAAAAGAAATAACAAATAAATAAAATAGAGAAAACAACAATAAAAACAAATAATAAGGAAAAAAAAAAAAGAAAGAAAGGAAAAATAAAAAAAAGATAAAAAAAAGAAAAAAAAATACAATAAAGAAGAGAGAGAGAAAAAAGAACAACTCCTAAATCATTCCTTTTATATATTATATTATATTAGCGAAAATTCATTAATTCCATCAATAATCATATGAAATAAAAAAGAAATATAATAAAGAAAAAGGAAAAAAAAAACACAAATTAGAAAAAAAAACAAATTAAAAAAATAAAAAAAGAGAGAAAAAAAGACATATAACAAGAAGAATTGTTGCTAACGAAGATACAATTCCGGCCCCGGCAAAATCTAATCAATATCCCAACAAGATTTAATATAACGCTTCCTCATCCTAGAAGTGATAAAATAGCATCAAAAAGAGAAATTAAAAGAAAAAGCAAAAAAAACAAGAAAAAACAAGAAAAAAAAATACCCCCCAAAAAAAAGATTACAAAATAAATAAACAATAACTCTCAATACGAAATTTTTAATCCAACATAAAAACCGCCAAATTCTACAAAAAAATATAACTAAAACATCCAAAAATCTAAAAAATATATCGCCAAAAATGATTCAAAATTCGAGAACATTTAACAAAATTATACCACGAGAATTAAAGGAAAAAAAAAAAAAAAAAAAAATATAACCAGCCCCCAAAAACATTACAATTCGACCAAAATACCGCTCCAACGATTTACTAATATACAAAAAATACTTTCTCGAAACCATCTCTGTTTATATAAAAATAATATAATCTTAAAATAATTTATTTTAAACATAAATTCATATATATGTTTTTGTTTCTAAATGATTCTTTTATATGTTTCCAATAAAAAAAATAATTAATAAATCAATAGTCAAAAATGATTAACCATATCTTATTGTTCCCTTCGTCCAAAATCTGCGCTAGTTCCAAAGAAGAACACCCTCAAAAGATGTCACGACCTAAATCATGCCGCAAAACGTACATTTGGTTGCTCTTCCGCGAAGGCACGGTGCTGCAGCACCAAAAGTGCTATCATATCCAAATCGTCCAAACAGGGAGTGGAACGATCCTCAATAAGATGGCTTCAATCATTTTATCCAGGTGCGATTGGTTTGGCGATGGTGTGAGACGAGTGTACAGCAGCAGCTCGGTGAAGCACCACCCAAATCCAAATGTGGAGGAGCAGGACATAGCCTGACAGTCCCGAACACTGTCTAACCAAGCGAAACGAGACAGTGCCAAAAGCCATCGTATCTTCTGAGCCTTTGGGAGGGGGAGATTCAATGATGTGGGCACTGTACGGAAAGGACCTTCATGATGAGTGGGGTCGCAAGCGCCCCTTTGTGAGGTGGCTAATTTTTGCCCAGAAACATCGATCCGATCGTGACAATACAAAGCCAGCCGACTGATTTGCTGAAAGTAAACTTGGCAACACCACCACCACCACCACCACCATTGCCGTTTTCCAGATCGTTGTCAAGTCACTGGATTGGTCTTTCACCCCCAGCAAAATGTCAAACCTGAAACAATAAATAGTGAAATGGCAAACGGTCACACCAAGTGTAACTCCACCATGTCCTCCGGCTGGCGCCCTTGGTGGTAATGCAAACTCAGCTTTTTGGAGTGCCAAATTACAAGGTGCTTGGTCAGAAGAGTTGGCTGGGTTTCCTTCCATCTTCCAAAACCCCAAAAAGGTAATAAAGACACACCCATGCATCGCGCAAAAGAACAAAAACTTCCACACGGCCAGAGGCGCCCCGCCATAGAAGATCCTCCGCGTCGTAGGGCTCGCAAAGAGCAGTCTGAGACACGAATTCGGGGGCCCATGGCTCTGAACGTGTCGACTCGGTACATGAGAAGCGTTGACCCCGATGGTTGAAGCAACTTGGAGGCAGCACAAAACACAAGAGAACTGAAACAATCGGTTTGCCTTGGGAATTTCGGACAGTGCTGAATGAAATCTGCATACAATTACATGAATTCCTGCCGAGTTTTCCGCATGAGCACACTTCCTCCCATAAGATAGGGCTGCTTTAAAACAACCAAGTACTCATCAGGTGCCATAGCATGGAACCCGTGCCGTCTGAACACGCCAAGCGCTGCCCAGCTGCTTGCTGAAGCGCTTCAGGACCAGATCCCCGTCGAGGCAGAAGGCCTGCAGCTGAGAGTCGAGTCGGCTCCATGGCCCGGTGTGAACCCTTAGGCTCAATTGCTCAATGAATGTCTTTTCGTCTCCCTTTCTTCGGAGATGCGCTGTTCGCGCTGGACACACTTGCAAGGATCATCCCAGCCAAAGCACCAGCGGCTTTAAACACCCACCGGGTCTCTCTCTCTCTCTCAAAATGGGCTCCCTCGACAACTCCCTGGTTCTGGGGGGATCCGCATATTCAACTTGGAGAAACCATTGAAATCAACGCCTGATTGCGCAAAACCAAGGCTGGCAATGCTTGAACTTATGCTCACTGTGACTTTTCTCGTCATCCATTCAAAGCTAAACCTAGGATCCAAATTCAAAGTGAAGGAATCCATGATCCTAATCTACAATTTGTAGCGGGCACCTACAAGGGAAACCGCTGCCATGTGGCATGGCGGCATCTAGCTCAAAAACTGATTTTGAACAGATGAGCCGTGCGCGGCAAAATCAAAGACGAGTTTGTCTTTGTTGAGGCTGCCCTTTCTAGGGTCGGTGTCAAAGGACACCCAAGGAAGCCGGCCATTTTCCGGGGCCTATTGTGAGACACATTGCACCCCCCCACTAGCCATCCGCCCCATCCGCCTTGACAGCTCCGGAGCCTGGCGAGACGACCGAAATATGTTGCTTGGTGGGGAAACACATTGAAGAACTATCCAAAAAGCAGATTTCAGAACCAACCCTGAGAACTAGAGAAACGGGCCGCAGAGCTTGCATGCGGGCGGATGTAGGGACGGGAAAGAGGGGTGGGGGAGTTTGACATACAAACTTTAGAAAGGGCCTTTGCAAATCCGAGCTGTCCGGAAGCACCGACGTCTCGTTGATCCAAAGTCGCCCAACCTCAAAGTGGTCCCCCCTCCATGGGCTCCGATTGTTTGCTCGTCTTCGTGAGCATCTTCGTGAGTCGAGGGATGCAGGGCAAGTGTGCAAATGCCTGCTTTGACCGGCATGGGCGGTCACAATGCACAATTTTCCCCGTACAACATTCCCGGAACATGCACGAAACCTTCCCCTCTTTCCATGTTCTTGGAGTTCCAAGCAGTCTCAAAAAGGCGTCACCCTCCTGAACCCCCAAGGGTGGCTTTCGACAACCCCTAAAGGTTTTCACACAAACATTTGCCTCGGATCTCCTCTGCCGAACCCCCAACCCCGCCTTCTCTGTCCATGCGCGTGCCGTCTTCGAGGTCGACCAACTGGCCCAAACCAAGCAAGCCAAACACCCCAACGCATTGGGACATGTCATGACATGTCCGAAATTGTCATGCTTGTCAGAAGCACCAATCCTACGCCACATGCATTTTGCCGCCAGTTTCCGTTGGCTCAGATTCAGTCAGTTGGATGGGCCTTGCTATTGGATTTTTTGGGGAGCTCCCTCCGATTGAAATTCAGCCCGCCTCTAATTCTTTGCCTCCCTTCCCCCCCTACTCTGGGTGTCGCTGCGCTCGGCACAAGCAAGAAGATCAAGAAGGCAGCTGGCTCAATGCTTCAGGAAGGCCCGCCTTCTCCTTATCGGCCTCGATGGACACCGGCGCGACTTTGCTTGGCTTGACCGACGCCTCGCGATCGACTCAAGGCGAATTCCGCGGAAGCAACGCCATTTCCTTGCACATGCAGTGGGCGGCTCATGCCATCTTAGTGCAATTGAACAACCCAAGTAAGGGTTCCCTGTAAAAGACACCTTCAGCATGGGTAAGGTCGCAAACTCCCTGTAAGATCGCTTTATTTATCCCCACTCGCGCTCGCGGCTCGTCTCGCAGCTGTCGCAGCGAGGACGAGAGTCCAATGCCGTTCCTAAAACGGCCTAGCGAAATCGGCCGCCGTCCGAAAAGCCCGGCTCAATGACCGCTCATGGATCTGCCGTCGAACCAACAGCAAGGATTCCACCGGGGCCCCAACCGAAACACCCGCCATGAAGCAAGTGACCCCCATGCGAGAACAATCGATCCTGTTCACAAGCAAATCCTCGCTGTCAGCCCTCTTGAGCAAAGCTCGGATCAGTGATCGGGTGCACTGAATCCAGTCGCCTATCAAGGCATGATTGAAATGAATGCTAAAAGCCCCAGGTGCAACCCATCCATGAGGCCCCCTAGAAGGAAAGCGGCCGCCAGTCAAATGGTAAGCCACCGCAATCTCAAACCAACTAACGGGAACACATCCATCACTGCCCGCATCAAACGCCAAAAACCAACTGCTGAAGCCCAAAGCAAATGATCTGGGAAAGGAGGTTCCCGCTTCTTCTACAAAAGCATCCAGCCATGATTGGCCCAAACGAATTCCAAGAGATTCTACTCTAGGTTGGAAAACCACCGGAGCCTCCCAAAAGTCAGGGGCAACCTCATCCTCACCTGACGGGGAAATCCGGGCATGCATGTCTGCTTCCGCCAGCGTCACTCGCCTCAAAGCTCGAATGGTAGGAAGAAGATCCACTACCTGATCGTGCAGCCGAGCTCGTTGTGCAAGTAGCTCCGCGTCTCTGTTGAAAATCGTGGCCTTGGCCGCCACATCTGCTGCCTCGTTGTGAATATGTTCCCAGTCAGCCAGCGCCGTCTCTCTGCTCTGAGGACCTTGATCACCATGATGGGCTCCTGCTGATGATCAAGTACACGCCGCAGCTGCTCCCATAGATCGCCATTGGGTACAGCCTCCGGTCGAAGTGCACCATCATGTAGCCGTCGCCACCCATCGCAGCAGACCTGACTGTCCGTCCAAATGTTGACCGGCCGGCGCTGGCGAACTGCCCAATTGCAAGCTGCTATAATTCCAGTGATCTCCGCCCGAGCGATGTCCTGGATCATGCCGCCCAAGGGCCCAGCCGCCACCACTGTGTCCATCTCCACGCAGTGCACCGCCCAGCCCGCCAAAGCAAGCCACGGGTGCTTTGCTGTGAGGCATGCTCCATCCGTGAACAAGTTGAAGCGGCCCTCCAGGGCGTTGAGCTCCACCGGATCCATGAAGTGGTCGGGTTGACCCTGCAGCAGGCGCAGGTAGTCATCCATGCCCGTCAACGTCGGAACCAGGAGGTGGTGCGTGAGACAGTCGGGCAAGTAGTTCCACCGCTTCGCCAACCACTGCCGGTCGCCATGGTGTTCCGTCAACTTCGGGCACTCCAGGCAGATGTGCTTCACCGTGTTGGGAGTTTGACAACGGTCGCAAAGTCCCGTGCACTCCGCGTCATACTTGGCGTGCTGCGCCGCCAATCGAAAACTTCCGTCCTGCAGTGCTGCCACTCGCGAGGTCTCCAGCGGTGAGAGCTTGCCGCTGTCCAGCCTGGTCAGATGCCGGTCGATGCCCAGTAGGCCTCCCATCGTCTTCCGTGATCGCACCTTGTTGGATACGTAGCGTAGCCACCCGTCCTGGAGCCGTCGATGCAGCTCCGTTCGGTTGACCAGCAGCAGGTTCATGTGCATGCTCATGTGGTCCAGGATCCATGGTGGGTCCTCCATGCGCCATCCAAGCGGGTCAAAGATCTGCATGATCTGAGAGAATGGTCCCGCAGCCGCTGCCCCGGTGCAGTACAGGTTCTCGTAAAATCGCCTCCATAGAGTAACCAGCTGTGGGGATTTGCGGCAGAGGCGACGCAGGTCCTGCAGGACTGCCCATGTGCGAAAGAAGCCTGGGTCTGCCAAGATATTGGCGCTCAGACTGAGTCGCAACAGCGGGTTCGATCCAGCTCTGTGTGCCTGAATAGCCCTGCTCGCCGTGGTCCGAAGGTGCATGATCTCCGCCTCCGTCACCGAGCAAATGGCCGTGCCATAGAAAACCGATGGCCAGAACTTCACGAACAGCGCCTCCAGCTTCTGATGATATGGGGCTGCCACCCGACGTAGCTTGCTCCATTCGCTGTGGAGGTCCGCCGACTTGCCCTGCACAATCTTCTTGTGTGCTCGTCTGTGGGAAAAGGTGTAGTAGGCGCCCAGGTCCTTCATGTCTGTCACTACTCTCAGGTCCGTGCCGTTTAGCAGGGCGACATCTGGCTTGTTGAGTGCCCAAGCAAGTGTTTTGTCAGCATCTGGTTCCACTCGCCACATTTCACAAAAGGACAAAAACGCGATCCAGGCACGATAAAGGGCTGCCGCCGTATCCGCCAGTACCGCAAAGTTGTCCACGAAGCTGAACGACATCACCTCCGGCTGGAAGGCCTTGAAGAAGGCGTGGAAGGAGAGGTCAACCAAGCACATGGCCACCGTGCTAAGGCCACATCCTTCCGGCATGCCGTTGACTGAGCTGATCGGCTCGCCCAACCCACCTCGAATCTGAAATCTCCGTTGGTTCCGGTCTAGGAACGTCTGCCATGCGTGCAGCCACGGGCCAGGAAGTCCCAAATGAAGTCCCAGACGCATAATTGGGTGGCGCCCCAAGGTGTTGAAGCACTTCTTCAGATCGCTGCACCATCCCGCAAGCCCGGCTCCCGTCTGCAAATGCACCTCCACTTCGGCCTGTTGCTCGTAGTAGTACTGAGCCGCCTCCCTGCCCGGCAGAAAGCCATACATTCCGAAGTTGCAGTACTGCTCCACATGTCGCAGTGCAGTTCGCGCTCGCACGCTGGACCACAACCTGTAGGGGATGCCGTAGATCGTCACCGGCCTGTAGTCCATAACCGCTTGAGACGTAGGCTTTTTGGCCAGGGCGATGACCGTGCCCTGCAGCAGCTGATCCGGCCAGGCGCTGAGGCCCTGCTCGATCTTGCCGTAGAGATTGACGAGCTGCTGCTGATGTGCGCGAGGCGCGTTCTGTAAGTCAGCCTTGCTAAGTCCATCTGGTCCTCGTGCTGCAGTAGGCTTTAGCCGTCGTAGTGCTCGGTCCCACTCCGACATTTCCACCTCCGCATACTCCAGCTTGCCCTTGGGAAGGAAGTGGATGCCGAAGGCGATGGCCCGATTCCAAACGTCCTCTGGGAGGTTGAGATGAGCGTTCCAGCGGGCGCGCCACTCCCCGGCAAAGTTGTCCTGTAGCTCCTGCTCGTCTGTGATGGTGCGAGTGCTTGTGATAGTTTGCCCTGGTGTGGGCGAAGTTGAGGTTTCCAGAGTGATCAAGTCACCATGAGCATGGACAACCTTGGTGGCCTCTTCCTCGACGTCCCAGCTCTGGCTGTGAAAACCACCTTCAATGTCCTTGTCCAGGTGTGTGAGGCCGGTCTCTTGCTCGTGCGCCAAGATGGTGTAGTCCCGCATCTCCAAGAGGTGATCAACCTCAAGGGCCCGTGGTCGTGTCAAGGCTTGGTAGATCTGGTGCTGGTTGGATTCGTAACGTTTTTGAATGACCTTGTGCCGCTGGCGGATGTGCCAAGACTCGAACTTCCGAAAGTTGGCCTGGAAATCCGTGTAGAGCGTCTCCACAACCTCCACCGTCAGTCGCAGTCCCTGCAGCTGCCTTGGTGCACCTTGATGTTGAACGGGACGTCTCGGCCACCATCTGTGAAAGGCTCCCTCGAACCCCTTGGCCGTGAAGATGCTGCGCCAGAGCCGATGAAGGTGCTCCTGGGCCTGCTCGGTGGGTGAGTCGGTTTTGATTGCGTGCCGTAGTGATTGGAGCCGACGGAGCTGCTTGAACCACTTGGCCACTGCCCAGCCCGTGAGATCGCAGTAGAGAACAACTTCCCCCTGGCGACTTGGCTTGGAGAGCGGCGCCTCCGGTTGTCGTCGTTGTGGTTGGGTTCGCTGACACCTGCCTCTGCATCGGGCTGCCAAACCATCTGGGCTTGTACAATGTACCGCCTCCTCCAACACCCTCCCCCATTTGCCGTACCAACTCGTAGTATCGCCCTCTGGAGCGGGGCTGGCGATGACTTCCGTCTGCGCCAGCCGGTCCTTGTTCACCATTTCCCAAGGGATGGCCGCCGGGTGAACCCATTGCAGCTGTTGAGGTCGCTCGTGTCGTACCGCCAACTTCGTCTGGACCGTCTGATGTTCCATGAAGACCGGGCGCACCTCCACCGCCGTGCAAAGCGCCGCCGCCTCCGGGGACATGAAAATGAAATCCCTCTGAGTCGCATTCTTGCATGTGTTTTGCGCATGCTGGCCCCAACTGCGAAGTGCCAGATCTTGACACTCAACCCAGCCCATGGACTTCCAGATGCGACACTGGTTGAGCTCCGTGGGGTCCGCGTTGAAGTCCCCAACCACCAGTCGTGGACCTCCCCTGCCCATGACCAACTCTTTCGTGACGTTCGTCAGGAGCTGGTCAGTCATCGCAACTGCCTGTGGGTACGTGGGTCCCTGGGCAAATCCGTAGACCGTGGCCACCGAGAAGAAGTCCGCCCCAATGGCATGGCCGCTGAGAAGAACTCTGCCAGTGCTATATTCCATGTCTGGCCACGTCACCTTGAGCTCCCGAGACGGAAAATCCGCGAGCGCTAACACCCCAGTCCACGCCCCTGCCCATGAAGAATTCCGTCTCAAGGGTGCCGGAGCGCCCGTAATGACCCGTACTTGTCTGTGCTGTTGACGAGCACCCAGCTGTAGGCTCCTCCGAACTGAGGGCATCGTAGCCTCGGAGAGTTGAGTCTCCGTGAAGACCCAAAGACCTGGTCCCAGATCGAGGGCCTGTAGTTCCTTACCCCGCATTCCTGAAGGATTGCTGACCCCGACTGACACAACTTCCTGTGGGCCCGGATGTCGCGCCTCTCCCCACCTCCAGCCACCATGATCCCATTTGGTCCCGGACCCCAAATCGCGGTCACCATGTGCCGCGCTGACAAAGAAGAACTGGGCACAGGACCTCCCGGAGACCATCTCTTCAGCCGTAGCCGTGGCGACCGAAGGCACCCAAATCACCATCATGATGAGCCACTGCAAAAGAATGCCCATCCGCAAAGAACCCATCCTCGAATGGCATGAGTCCTTGTCTGTCTGCTTCCTGCAACCAAAATCGGGCCTTGAAACTCGACGGGGCGCCACCACAGACCCATATGGTAGCCCCCAGCGACCTAGTCACTCAGCCCGCTGCTTCTTGTCCGCATGCCCGGTGCCCTTGAGATCCACAATGGCCTCCTGCAGCTGTTGAAACTGCATACTGAACTGGGATCCCATCGTCTGCAACGCCGTCTGCATCGCCGTCTGAATCTGATTGGGCTGGTCCTGTACTTCCTGGCGGATGGCCTGGATGTCCTTCTGCTGTGAGTCAACCGTGGCGCAAAGGGCATGGACCTGATTCGTGAGCTCGTTGGTTTTGTGCCCGCCTGCGTGAACCAGCCCTCGAACTTGGTGTTCTGGTGTCGCAGCTCCTGAACCGCCACCTCCAGTTGTCCCAGACGCGGGTCTTCCGTTTCCATGGCCCCTCCGTGAAGCGAGGAGATCTCGGAATGTACCGTGCGCTTCACATCCTCTTTGAGCTGGTGCTCAAGCTGCTGCAGTTTCTGAGTGGTTGCGTTGCCTGTTATGGTATCTCGCGAGGAGCCCTTGCTGTGGTCGTGGAACCACGTTGACCAGGGGTCGGTGCCCTGCTGCCACGGGTCCTGTGTGTTGCTGCCGCCGTGCTTGGGTTTGACTCCCTGCTTGTCGGATTGCAGGTATTGGCGTGTTCGTTGAGGGATCACCGGAGCCGGGTGCCCATCCGTCTTGCGGTTCAGCGACTTCACCAACTGGATCAGCACCTCCCCTTGGGGTCCTTGCATGGCGAATGAGGGCGGATCTTTTTCTGCTCCCACCTCCCAGGCTCCACCTGCCGCACTGCCACGGGCTGGCTGAAGGGGCTTGGCTGCCCATCCCCACTGCTTCATCAAAGCCACAACTCCAGCCCTCTGCATCCCGTACGGAAGCGGGTAGACCTTGTAGACGGCGTTGAGCTTCAACTGCATGAAGATCTGACCCGGCCTGAGCGCACCGAAGAGCATCGCCTCGTCCTCCGTCTTGACCCGAATTCCCCACTTCTGTCCCAGCCGTGCTATTCCGAGTCCTTGCCGAGCGCCATGACCGGGTGGTCCTGAAAGACACCCACCCGCTCGATGTCGTAAAGGGTCCAAAGCTCATCAGGCGCCCCAAAGCACCCTCCAAGGAAGAAGAGCTGGTCCGGCGACACCCCATTCATCTGCGTGAACCGCCCGTCCAGCTCATGCCCCACCACCTTCGCCACGACCGTGACCCTGTGCTCCCCCTCCGCGTCCACCCTCTGATCCATTGCGGCCCCTCGACCCTCAGTAGGCAACCGCTCTGCCCCTGGAAGGCGTTCGAGCCAGAGCTAAAGATCGCTTTATTTAATCTGCAAATACAGTGAAAGTCTCGAAGATTTTCCTAGCCGCTGACTGGTCCTGACAGGCGCTTGCGTGACTTTGCCCAACTGGGACATCTCCAAGGGCCGTTGCTACACTTCTCTAAAAAGAACGACCCCGGGTCAAACGGGTTCCCTTTAGATTCAGATTTAAACAACCCGAAAAGGCGCATTCATGGTAGGAGGGTTCCTCTGATTCGCAGGGTCAGCCGGATTCATCCGAAGCAAGAACTCATGATGTTTACAACCACGAGGCAAGAAGGACTCATTTGGGTCTCCAATAAAGGAATCCCGAGAGCGGGCGATGTTCCACATGCCTGGCCTCGGAGCTCTCGTAGCGCAGCGCATTGCGCTCGCAGGTGAGGATCTGGCGGCAAAGGCGCGATGGGAGCTGAGAATAGGCTTGGGAGAAAAAAGAAACCAATCCCGCTTGGGTCTGGAAAGGCAAAAGAAACCATGAGCAGCAGGGCGCAAATAGCACGTGGCACCTACTAAAGCAGCACGAGACTGAACGCTGCATCCGAAGCGCCGCTTTGCCGTTGTGTTCCTGTCAACCACCGGCTTCCAGTGGCCTGTGGCCTGTACAGAGAGGTTTCAACAGGCTGGGACTTTCAACTAACGGGCTCCGTCCCTCGCAGCCGAACCACGTCGCAAAACACCAGGATTGTACGGTAGTGGAACCAGCCACCATAGAGCGGGTGAATACTCATCCCCACCAGCCTGGTATGCGTCGAAGTCCGCAAAATGGCTTCCGAGATCATGGAGGGGTGCTCAACAAGCCCCAACACAAAATGCTTGCAGGTGGATCTTCCAGCTCGTAGGATGAGTTAAAGATTGCCAAGGTCTCGCACTCGCGCAGCCATGAAACCGTTGATGTGTTGCACTGCTTCATGTGTGCTTGGGCAAGGGTCCTCGAACTGCAGAGTGAAGCTGCAAGGCCAGCACAGGCCGATGCTCTGGGGCGCTCAAAAGGAGACATCCGGGAAAACCAGTGCTCCCAGCTTGGAAAAAACTAATCTACCCCACAGGTTGGCCCTGGATTAGGGCATCATCTAGTGTGCAGATCGCTTTGCAATTATGTGCCACCTGCCAAGGCGGAGGCCTCCTATAGAAAGTGAACCAACCACGAGGGTTTTCCCTTGTTCCCCCAGTTGCAAACTCTGAGGACATCCGCCGCACGTGCGCAGCGAAGATGGAGCAACTAAGGAATGACACTTACGTCAACTCACTGCGCCTATGGTGCACAGGTTCAAGTTGGGGAGAAAGAAGTGCTGATGCATCCTACTTCAGCTCGTGAGCGACATCAATGAGTTGAACCTATCCAGAAACTAGCTCCCTCTCTCGATGTTTCATGCCAGATCTCATCTCTGCCGATCCCGACTGCGAGCCTCGAGACGCTTGTCCTTCTCCTGGGCTGACAGTCACAATGAATTGGAAAGTCATCAGGAAATGGCGAGGTCGATTCTGGCTTGGCCCAAGCCTAATGGGCGTCAACCCATCCCTACCTTGAGATGAGAAATGGGGTATGCACCGAGCATGCGGGATTGCTTCGAGGAAGCAAGGCGTCACCCCTGCATATATAACCCTCTGAGAGATACAAAAGCTATGAGGTGAAGTCACAGCTATCATCCTCCCAAAAAAAACATGGAACTGCACAGATTTGCTCCGTGCGGCGAGGGTAGTTGCTCATTGGGAAATGCCGCCGACTCAAGCAAGGCACAGAAGGAAACCTGCTTCCACGGTGTGAGCAAAAAATGCAATGGTTTGCCACTACAAAGCTGCGTCTGCCTGAACCGCAAAGAACCATGGAAGCTCTTCATGGAGACCAGCCGCTTTGACGCAGCCGACAAACAAAATGATGGGCGACATTGAGGAGTTTGGGGAAATGCAACAGGGCTCATAAGTCGCCGACCAGAAAAACTTGGTCACTGCTGGCCATCAAACGTGTCCGAGCAATTCTCCGGGTTTCCCCTGGTTTCGTTGTGTTTGATGAAACTTGGCCACCGCCACATCAGCACCGCCCCATTAAGCCGCAAATGACAATGTACACTTCTCCCCCACCGCCCCCCCCCCCCCCCGCCACATTCGGCCAGCCGAGTCAGGCATCTTTGCCAAGCAGCGTTTGATGGACATCATCCAAACAGTCTGTATTTGTATATCCACCAACCATGTAAGGGGGTTCACAGTCGAGATTCGTGGACACATGTTGCAAGTAGACCTTACCGCTGAAGTGAGGGCCCCCGCGTCGTTTTTGCGCTTCAGGTAGTCAATCTCTTCCTTGGAGATCGCCACCTGTGGCGGAAGACAAAGGGCCTCTCTTGGCCTCTAGTTGGCGCAACTCCTACGAATGGTGGCTCTCCCTTCTCACTGACCCCAGAAATGGTCATGGATCCTGAGACGTAGACACAGCCAATACAAGGGTTCCCATTTTGCACACTAAGGCAAGTGGCCTGGTAGAACAAGGCAACCCTTTTTGTTTTTGGAGGTGAACAATTTTGGTGAGGGACCGGCCAAGCAAAATAATGCCAAACGGGTGCCAGGAAACAACTGACTCTGTCTGGAGAGTCGACTCGCCAGAAAGCAAATGATGCAGAAAAAAACGCAACCAAAAGTGGTAGGTCTGCCAACTCCAAAGAGTCCCTTCGATTTCCGGAGAACCCCTGGTTCTGGAAAATCAGACTTTTTGTGATTAGACTAAAAGGCAAAATACACTGGAGAAGCAGAGTCCAGCGAGTTCATTCTCCTTGCATGGGTAAGCCGCTCATGACCGGACCACAAATCATTCGGGAGCCTGAGCTGGCTGGTGCCAGCTGCGAACCTCCAGTTTACTTGTCCATCCATTTCGTTTGCCTCCCCAAGTTTGCTCCCGATCCAGTTTAAGGCAAGGGAGAAAAGGACCGCTCCCCGAGGTTGCGCTGGCTTCTCCGACAGGAAGAACATCTCCACCCCGGCCCCTATGGCCTGCTGCTGCAGCTCCTCTTGATGCTGCTCAAGGATCTTCTGCAGCTGCTGCTGCCTAAAAAAAGGCGAAACCCAATTCATGTGTGCTTGGGTGTTCTTGAGGGTAACATTTTCAGGTTGGTTTCAAGGGAAACCAAACAATGAAAAGCCACCATTCTGGAGCTCCACTATCTTAACTCATAGCCATACGCGCCACAGTCAAAGCTCCCAAATTACGGGGCATGGTCTTCTGCTCCACATGTTTCAGGCTCCTTCTGTGGGTGACGGTCTTGCTGTTGTTTGTTCTCTCTATTTCTCTCCCTCTCTCTGTGCCGGACGGTTCCAGTGCTGTAATGAGGAAGCTTTACTTTGGTTGTCAAAAATATCTAACATAATCTAACATATCAACATATCCATTAAAAGCTTGATGACAATCCCTGACCCCGCGTAAAGGCATGGCCTTACCAAGATGTTACCCTGAAGGACGTGCTGGCCCCGTAGGGCAGCTCTGGTCTGATGAAGCCCAGCGGAAGAAAATTCCAGGGATGGCAGGCCCGTGTTGGAACTGTCCGGGTGTCCAAAAAGAATCATAGTTGGGCTTGTCTCCAATTCGAACCAAAATGGTGGATGTTCCTTCGGATTATCCTGTCAAACGGCAAAAAAAAGGCACCAAGAACAATGGCACATAGTCAGTGGGGAAGTGTTCTCAATCACGGCTGGTTGAGATGTCATCTTGTCTCAAAGCTTGCAGCTGTTTGTCCCGAGCTCTTATTGTAGGCTTCGTTGCTCCTGTGTGAATGCCCCTGACGTTGAGTCGGGCAATTCTGTCACTTGTTCGCCCCCCTTGTTGGGCTAGGTGCACGGACGAACGCAAAAGCTGGGGCACGGGCAGGGAGGACACCTAAACGCCGCCGGTGCTGACCAAAGCTTGCGGAGTCGCACAGTTCAAAGGGCCGTTTCCCAAAAACATTCACACAAGAAACAACGGGAACCAAAAAAAACATCGGCACTTCTTGACTTGCATTTTCGATCGGTGTGTGTGTGTGTGTGCATATGCTTGTTCAACTGCTCAAAACCAGGCGGATGTAGCTTATGCTTGCTGGGGAGGAGGGGACTAGACTCCGGAAAAGGCAACTGGCAACACACACACACACACACAGAGACGGACATGAGTTGCAAAATATTCGGTGCTTAGGTCATTGGGCACAGCTGTCCAACACGCGTGCGCCAATCAGGGTTCGGTTTCCATTGGCGCCACGTGCTTCTGAAAAAAGCAACACATCGCCAAGGCGTTTGCCACTTGAGACATCCCTGTCTATGCGGTTTTGCCCAATATCTCCCCAACATGAGCTTGTTGTTTGGTCTTGATCATTTTGGGCACTGTAAGGAGCTCTGTCTTATCCCAGACCTTGCAGTGGCCACGGGAAAAAGGGGGCACTCTTTGCACGTAGCTGTTTCGAGGGAAACCTCCTGCAAAAGAAAATAACAACTGCACCACTAGGTTAAGTGTCATTCTCTTGCGCTTTGGCTCGCCTTACTTTGATGCATCGGCATCTTCCAGCTGAATAGCGACTTGGCACAAACTCCAAATGGTGAGAGCCTTCCCTGGGCTGACAGCTCGCTTAATCCCACTAGGTGGAAGATTGACATCAACACAGGGCCGGCTGCATAGCTTTGATTGCTTTTAGCAAAACCCCTTTCGACTTATATTCCCTTCAACACAACAACAAGCGGTTCTTGTTCAATTTCAGCTGACACTACGAGGCTGCCCCTCTTGGTTCTGTTTTGGAAGCCGCGCCCAGAATGAACCATCGAATTTGTTCTAAAGCAAAACCACGCTCAACTTCAGGAGAAAGAGGGGCGTGCGCTTTTTCTGGGTGGATTTGCAAGCAACCCGCTCGACTTGTTGATTTCTATCAAAAAGGGTGCCCTGAATTGAAAAGACGCACCCCGAAAACCAGCCCTCGCGCGCCAAAAAGCGAGTGAGCCGAAAGCCACGACTCGACCCATCCCCGGAATCTCTGCAGTCGCCTCCCGCTGCGCAGCCTCCAGCTCTTCAGCCTAGCCGTGAGAGGGAAGGGCTGGCCGGGAGGTCGGTGGGCCGTACTCCTCCTGAAAGCATCACCAACAGAAACTCACTTTCTGTTGGCAACCCAAGGTCCCTTGGCAAAGGGATGCTCTTTGGACTTTAATGCAGGGTCCCTGCAGGGTTCACTAAACGTATCACCCTCTTTCAGAGTGGTGTTCAACGTCGCCTGGTCTCAAAATAGGGAATGAGAATGGTTTTTCAGGGTACCCCGTGAGTTCAGCACCACAAATGCGACAGTCTTTGGGTGTGTGTGCTTTCGGAAAGTTCTTTGTGTGCTGGGCACCTGCAATCTGGGTGAATCGACTGATTGATGGCATGCTTGAAGTGTTTAAATGTGGACCAAATGGAAACCACCAATCAAGGTTCCGAATCAAGGTTCCGTGTGGGTCTCTGCATTCCTTCTCGTTTGTCTTTGAAACTATCCCAAACATTCCCAAGGCGTGGGCATCGTTCCAAATCTGGCCAAGTTTCAGACGGGCCGTGAGTCTCCATTGGGACTCTTGGACAAGAGAACATATCGGGGAAATGATTTGAGTCCGCCAACATTGCTTACGGATTCTCCAACCATCAAAATCATGTTTGCCTACAGATGGGAAGTACAAAAACGCATTTGTAGTGTTAAATTGCAGGAATGTATAGCCACCCACCACATGAATCCGGCACGCCTGCTCAGGCACCTGGACGGCTGACACCTGGGAGGGTGCAAAGAGGCGGCGCGTTTTGGGGGAGAACCTACCAAGGACCGGCAAATCTGGACCCCATTCCGTGTCACATTGGAGAGCCGCTGGCAAGGGAAATGAGTCTTCACTCGAGATCAAACTTGTAGTCCCACATGCTCCGAGTCGGAACCTGCAAGCTTGGCTGAACTTTGATTCTCTTCGCTGACTTCGGAAAACACTGAGCAAAAGAAGTCGGAAAATGAAGATCAAGAGTCACGAGCAGTGCAAGTGCCTCCCAATTTCCACTTGGGAGCTCCAGCGCAAGCTCCAAACAGAGAACAGCTGAACATGAGGCAATGAGGCCTGTGAGATGCGGCCAGCGAGATCGGCTGCAACGAGATGTGCGCACTCAGCGATGGCAAAGCAAACATATCAATGTTTGGGGCAAAGGCATGCAACAAATGTCTATACTTCACCAGAAAGGCATCCCTCGCGACCTTCAAAGAGCTGGCTACCAGCACAAAGTGGATCACTCTGGCTTGGGCCAGCGCCACGGGCACAGTGCCCGGGCAAAATGTTGAAGGAACTGGGGGGACACCTGGCCTTTTGTAGGGCCGTAACCACACTTCTCCCATACGGCTGGCTTCCCAAAACGTCACATAAGTCCACCGAACAATCGGGCTGTTCAAAATGGAGGGGTGACCAATCATCAGCCAGAATCCATTTTGGGAACCACAAAAGGGGCCAAGTCATCTCGTAACCCAAGGAAAGGATCTTGCACATTGCCAAACTGAACAGCCCAAGGCTGGTGCAGCCCCAAACCGCGCGAGTGACCGCGCCTGGGTCGCCTCTCTGGCCTCGGCCTGAGCCTATCGAATCGGTTCGGAGGCGTCCGAAGAAACAAAGTCATTCAAATTCTGGAGGTGAACGAAAACGCAGAATGGCGGTGTCCAACAGATCTAAGACAAACAGATCCACCAAGGACTAGCCATGGTCATGCCAAGGTAACAGCTTGAACTGGGGCTTAGCTATCTTCGAACCACATGTTCAAAGGGCCTGGAAGTATTGACTTACATGGCCCTACAGTTGAAAACCCATACATTGCACGGAATGAGTCTAAAACCGGCTAGATGGTGCAACCTTAAGATCTTTCAGGAATTTCGCGGCATCTCTATATTGTGCATCCAGACTTTTTCAAGGTGAACTAAAAAAACTGGGACAGCACAAAGCCTCAAGAGGAGTCGAAAACCGAGGAATGAGCTTCCACAAACTTAACAAAAACGACACGCGTTTAAGGGGTGGTCAAGGCCGGAATCGTGCGTGTACGCATGTAAGTGTGTGTAAGTGTGAGTAAGTGTGTGTAAGTGTGTGTAAGTGTGTATAAGTGTGTGTAAGTCTGTGTAAGTGTGTGTAAGTGTGTATACGTGTGCATACGTGTGTGTGTGTAGTGTGTGTGTATGTGTATATGTGTGTAAGTGTGTAAGTGTGTAAGTGTGTAAGTGTGAAAGTGTGTAAGTGTGTAAGTGTGTGTGTGTGTGTGCGGTGTGTGTGGTGTGTGTGTGGTGTGTGGTGTATGTGGTATGTGTGGTGTGTGTGGTGTGTGCGTGGTGTGTGTGGTGTGTGTGTGTGTGGTGTGTGTGTGGCGTGTGTAAGTGTGTGTGGTGTGTGTGTGTGTGTGGTGTGTGTGGTGTGTGTGGTGTGTGTGGTGTGTGGTGGGTGTGGTGGGTGTGGTGGGTGTGGTGTGTGTGGTGTGTGTGGTGTGTGTGGTGTGTGTGGTGTGTGTGGTGCGTGTGGTGTGTGTGTGTGTGGTCCGTGTGGTGTGAGTGTGTGGTGTGTGTGTGTGTGTGGTGTGTGTGGTGTGTGTGGTGTGTGGTGTGTGTGGTGTGTGTGGTGTGTGTGTGTGGTGTGTGTGTGTGGTGTGTGTCTGTGTGGTGTGTGTGGTGTGTGTGGTGTGTGTGGTGTGTGTGGTGTGTGTGGTGTGTGTGTGTGTGTGTGGTGTGTGTGGTGTGTGTGTGGTGCGTGCGGTGTGTGGTGTGTGTGTGTGTGTGGTGTGTGTGTGGTGTGTGTGGCGTGTGTGTGGCATGTGTGGTGTGTGTGGTGTGTGTGGCGTGTGTGGCGTGTGTGGTGTGTGTGTGTGGTGTGTGTGTGTGGTGTGTCGGGTGTGTGTGTGTGGTGTGTGTGTGCTGTGTGTCAGGTGGGTGTGTGTGTGTGTGGTGTGTGTGTGTGGTGTGTGTGTGGTGTGTGTGTGTGTGGTGTGTGGTGTGTGTGGTGTGTGTGGTGTGTGTGTGTGTGTGGTGTGTGTGGTGTGTGTGTGTGTGTGTGGTGTGTGTGTGTGGTGTGTGTGTGTGTGTGGTGTGTGTGGTGTGTGTGTGTGTGGTTTGTGTGTGTGTGGTGTGTGTGGTGTGTGTGTGGCGTGTGTGGTGTGTGTGGTGTGTGTGGTGTGTGTGTGTGTGTGGTGTGTGGGGTGTGTGTGGTGTGTGGGGTGTGTGTGGTGGGTGTGGTGTGTGTGGTGTGTGTGGTGTGTGTGGTGTGTGTGGTGTGTGTGTGGTGTGTGTGGTGTGTGTGGTGTGTGTGTGTGGTGTGTGGGGTGTGTGTGTGGTGTGTTTGGTGTGTGTGTGTGTGGTGTGTGTGTGTGTGTGGTGTGTGTGTGTGGTGTGTGTGTGTGTGTGTGTGGTGTGTCTGTGTGGTGTGTGTGTAAGTGTGTAAGTGTGTACGTGTGTAAGTGTGTGTAAGTGTGTGAGTGTGTAAGTGTGTGTGTGTGTGTGAGTGTTGCGCCGTTTTAAAGCTGCCTTGCCTTGCTCAAGACCTTGTCTGTTTATTGGTGTGGCTTGTGAATTTGTGAAGGGCATGGAGTGAGCACCCTGGCGAGTTGTCTTCAAAGCGGCACCTTAAAGTTCTTGGGACATCAACAAGAACCCGATAGGGTCAAGCCCCTTTGCCCGAGAACTGAGACGTGACGCCGAACCCCCGAAAACCTGCCTTGCTTGGGAAACCTTGCATGCCACTCTGTCAAGAGACTCGGGTCAACTGCTCGTTCCGAAGTACCACCACGGCCTGCCCCACAAAACCGGCCATGAGTTGAATGGACCAATGGGGAGACCAAAAGGTCCAGATGGTCAAAGGGAGCCTCCCTACAGAAAGCGGGATCGGTTGTCCTTCCGTAGCCCAGGGAAGGGTCTTGCCGATTGCCTTTTGTACCGTTCAAGGAAATTTAGCCGTTTGGAGATATTCCCAATTTGCCCCACATATATTTTTGTCCCCTCTCGCCATGCCTCAACGGCCTGAATCTTGCTCCTCGCCTGCCGGTCGTCACACGGCAAGACGTGAAAAAGATCAAAGCTCAATCTTTGAACAAATCTGAGCATTTTGGATTCTTGTCAGGTCAGGTGGCTGGATGCAACTAGAACGATTGTGATTATGCTGCTATATGCTGCTAATGAGGAAGGACCAAGAACCATTGGGAGCGGGGATCCTTGAGCTGTCTTTCAGAAATGAGCAAATGAGCGGGACTCGGCCAACGTGCAGTTTGGGAGGCTTCCAAGCACCCTAAACCCACTCCAAACCTACCCTAAACCTATGGTACAACCCCAACTTGAGCCCTTCCAGTTAATGTCTGCTCAAACCTCTGCGAAGCTAACTCGGCTGGCTGGAGCTGGCACCTCTTGTAAGGGTTTACTGGGGCTAGTCTCAACCCAAGCCCTGTTTCCGGCAGTGTCCATCCACTGGATTAACACAAATTCCACCCAACCTCTGGTGATGATAGTGGAGGAGAACAAGGAACGCCTCTGAAACGGGCTGCACCAGGGCCAGCAATGGTCACCCAAGAGGGGAAATAATGCCGGCACAAACTGCCAGTAGTTGCGCTACTTTCTGCAATACATATGCATGGGTCTTTCTCAAACTAGTAGTCTCCGTCTCAAAAAAAATGAACCAACCAGGGGAAAACGGGTGCGCCATTTGGAGCCAAACGGGGTGTGTCCTTTTGGCAACTCGCCTCCTCCGCCTGCTGCAGAGCGTGGTCCCGCATCCACACGCACCTCGAGTTTCTGCGTTCGCCCGGTAACAACCCCTTTTGTTGCCATGGATGGTCCCTTCAAATTGTCAAGAGACTTGAAATTGAGCTCTCCTTTTGCCAGGTGCAGAGGAGAAGGCGCGTGCAATCGCGTGCAACACAAAAGAAGAAGGGAACGGCCTCTTCCCCCCCCCTGTGGCCCTTGGCTCCAATCAGCGAGAGCTTTCGAGAAAATCCAGCAGGGCATTCCAGGAGGCTCAAAATCTGTTGCTGCGAGGGCTGACACGGCAGCCAGGTTTTTGATTGCCTTCACCCATTTCCACAAGTGACCCTGCTGGCGGAAATGGTGAGATCCTAGAATGAGTCTTAGGCAGGCTTGTGCCCCCCGCCCTTTCAACAAGCTTCGTCCACCATTGTCCAAGCAACCTCCTGTTGGTTCCCCACTAAAGGTGATAACTTGATAACAATTGTTGCCCAACCCTGGTCCTAAGCATCAAATTTCGAGAACAGCCACGGCGAACGCTGAGGGACCCCATGATTGGATCCCTGCTTACGGAACTTCTGCCAGCCCACTGGAAAAGATTGGGGGGATCCAAGCCTATTGCAATTGGGAACGCGGCAATTGGGTAGGTTGTGTCATGTCGCAAAATGGTTGGCATGGTTGGAACCTCCAGGGTGGTTCAAAGGGAACCAACAGGAAACCAACCCACAAACACACACACACACACACACAGTTGCATCCCCGGGCTAAGAAGCGACCCCAGCAAGCACCCTCCCTAAAATACAATCCTTCTCAATGAGGGAAAATGAGATCAACCCAGAGCTCACTTTTTATGGATGTAGTTGCTCTCCATTAATTGCTGTAGTAGGTGAAATGCTGAAGCCATCCTTCCAACTTCATGATGGCAATCCAAAGCCCTAATCTAAGTATATAGGTGAAGTGTTGATTCTTGACTCATGCAGACAAGCAAGCCAGTCTAGTTGAGCCTGCATGACTTATTGCCCCTTGAACGATGGTCCAACTATGTGAATCGGAAGTTGACCAACCCAAAACAGTCCTCAGGCATCAAATCGATGCCCAAGTTGCTCCGTGGTTCCAATCCAAGGTCCCAACTCCTTGTGCCGCTCTTCCAACCTGAGGCCGCTGTCGCAGGCATCAAAGACGGCTGTTGGAGGTCAAGGCCCTGTGCTCAGATTCACACGTTGCTCTTGCGTGAGCTCGTTTGCCGAGACATGCAGCTGTGCCCTCACTCTTTGCGCTCTTAGACCGAATTGTTGCGGCGTCTGGATCTTCCTGTTGACAAGTGCTGCCATGCCTTCTCATCCCATCGGCACGGTGCTTGCCGCATGTTGTAATGGAGTTGCCGATTCTGCAAAGAAGGTGCTTTTGGCAAAAAAAAAAAAAAAACAGAAAACGGGGTCGTTTAGCACTTTGCATTCTGCCTGAGGCCCAAACGCCGCCAGGCGCTCCCGCGCAGAGCTCAGCTCCTGCCTCAGGAGGTCCTGGGTGAATCGGCCGGTGGATCGGATTCCTACAAATTGCAGATCTAGGAGCGTCCTTTTGGAAGGTGTCATTTTGGTCCCCCAAAAAAGACACACCCACTTGGGTGCGGGTCAAAATAATTGACCTTCCCAAGTCGACCTCTTGACGGCCCTTCAATTTCACTCTCAAAAAACGAGTCCCGCCTCTGTTGGTGCTAAAATTAGACGACCCCAATGGTAGCTTTAACCCACCCCTGGAAGGCAATCTGAGATGCGTTTCTCAAAATGAGTTGAACCCCTCTAGGCAGTTGGTTTCCGTTGGTCCCTTTCTCCAGAAGAAACCCTCCAAAATGGGTAACCCTTTCCTCTTTCTTTTGATATACTAGAGCGAGTCCACTGCACTTCCCTTTGGGGACCCAATGGAGCCGCCTCGGAGTGGCTGTCAGCACGTTGGCTGAACTCCAGCCTGGGCTGCCGCATGTGCCAATGAGCTGAAGCAAGTCAAAATCAAAAACTGGTAAAGTAGTCGATCAACAGAACTGCCCCTATATACATATATATATATATACGAAACGCTTGGGTCAGAACCCGCTCTGGTGGTAAGGGAACCAAAAGAAACCCAAAGGGGCAAAAGGTTACTTGAGTGTGGCAATGTTGAGGTCACAAAGCCCCTGTGGATGCAAGTTCTCCAGAACCGCATCTGAATACGGTATGTCATCATATATCTTCGGCGTATTTTGAACAATTGCCACCAGCCCGAAGCGACTGCGCACACCCAAGCAGGGAACAGGAGGAAAATGACCGGTGCCATTGTCCACTGACAGCCAGAACGCTTTGAAAGGGTGGTGTCTGTGTGTGTGTGTGTGTGTGTGTGTGTGTGTGTGTGCGCGTGCGTGCGTGCGTGCGTGCGTGCGTGCGTGCGTGCGTGGGTGGGTGCGTGCGTGCGTGCGTGCGTGCGTGCGTGCGCGTGCTGTGCGAATAAGCGATGCGCGCGCGTGCGTGCGCAGTGTGTGTGCGTGTGCGTGTGCGTGTGCGTGTGCGTGTGCGTGTGCGTGTGCGTGTGCGTGTGCGTGTGCGTGTGCGTGTGCGTGTGGGTGTGGGTGTGGGTGTGGGTGTGGGTGTGGGTGTGGGTGTGTGTGTGTGTGTCTGTGTGTGTGTGTGTGTGTGTGTGTGTCTGTGTGTGCGTGCGTGCGTGTGTGTTTGTGTTTGGTTTTGGGAGACCCCTTTATTGGCTTGAAAGGTGAAATCAAAAGGAAACGTCTGGGACCTCTATTTTGACAGTGGGTGCCAAATGGCACACTTGTGAAAACTGCGCTTGAAATCGCATGGGCACTGGCGCTACTCCTTTGCGAAGTTCATACGGGTGTGTGTGTGTGTGCGTGTGTCAAAATAGAGAACCCCGAAAAAGGGTGGTTTCGTTTTGACTTCCCTCGCTTAAACAACGCCGAAAAGGGTACCCTCAAGCACACAAACAAACAAACAAACAAACAAGCAAACACACAAGCACACACACACACAAAAAAAAAACAAACAATGGGTAGATATTTGGGGCAACAACCTGGGGCATTGCACCGCCGAGAACTGCATCTTTTGGCAAACGCTTCCAAACAATTGGAGGTTCGGGCCATCGGGCCAACACCATCCAAACATGGTCAAACTGTTGTTTACAGAATCCTTAACAAACCAGGGGGGTCCATGAGTCACTCACCGCACAGGCGAGCCCGAAAAGCCGAGCCACTCGTTGAGCCGCAGGGACATGGTCCCCACCTGGCCAAAGCCGCGCGTGGAAGAAGGCAAAACATATTGTCGTAGCTGCTTCTCTTTGAAAGTATCCTTTTCACCTGGGTGCAAAGAGAAATCAAAAGGAACACCACCCATGCTAGGGCCCCTCCATTTTGCCGGCCATATACATGCCAGTGGCCAAAGGGTGGGGTGCTTGCAAACCTCTGATCTGGTTCCAGCCCTCTTGTTGCAAAATGGCCATCCTTGCTCATTTGCCCTGAAAGACAGCCAGTTTGAAAGGTGTTGACATGCGATGCGGCCGGGCTGGTCATGTTGCGATAGACTGGGCTCAAAAAGGTATACAACTGGATTCACAAAAATTCGCCAAGCTATGCAGCTCCCAAGATGGCAGCTGTCACACAGGTGAGGTCACAAAGCACTCTAAGGCTGATAGTATTGCCCAAACGAATGAACTGCACGTCTATGCATGCCACCAAATACTTCGGCCATGGAAAGGCCTTAGGATGCCAATAGGCGAACCGTCGGACGAAACGTTTCGGGTCCTGTGTGAAGGATCTATTCTGACAGACCATGTTTCAAAACTGCGGGCCGCCCCTTGGCGTCACGTTGGCTTCCAATTTGAAGAATGGTTGGTTGGAGCTCGTATTTTCTAAGCAAAGCCTTTGGGCCCGAGCATTGCCCTCATGACCAATGGATGCCAAGTTCTTTGCCAATGTGGGTCTTTCCCTTTAAGCATCACTCCGCAAAGAAGCTCAACTGAGATGAGGTCAATTGTTGATGTTGCGCCAGGCAGGGATGGCCCGGAAGGGAGTTGGTCCACAAAGCGATGAATTGAACCCACGCGGAAGTACCTGAATACTTCCCTGCCAAGAAATGGCCTGAATCATGTTGAACCACGTTGAACCTGCCGCAAGTGTGCCAACAAGCTTTCGTGGCATTGGCAACTTTCTGGCCCAGCGCTTCCATCACTTGGACAGTATAAGACCATGTCGAAGCAAGCAACAGGCCATCGCAAAGCACCCTTGCGAATTCTACGGGTCGAAGGTCGATGCCCCCTGCCGCTCTGCTTCCCTCCTTGCAAATGTCCGCTCGTCCCACAGAGTTCGGGGCCGCTTGCGCAGCATTTCCGGAAGCCCCCTTGGGGCATTCATCAGACTCAAGGCGCCCATTTTTCCTTTTCCCGCATCGCCCCGACCCCAACTTCTCACCCACCCTGCCTCGCGCGCAGCCTCGCCTCGGTGAGCTGCCAGCTGACTGCGTTTGCCCCTGGACCCTCTTGAACCCTGTCAGCTTTCCGCGAAAGTGACCCAGGCACGTTGACAGTCTCTAGTTTAGGACGCGGTAGGCCCCTCGCCCAGGTCATCTTTGTTTCGGGGTCGGCGATGCCTAGAAATCGGGGTTCTTTGGCTGGCTTGCGCTTTGGACTTGCCCAACCTCCCCACAAACTCCCAGGAGTCTGCCCCAAAACCGCGTTGGGGCAAAACCTTACTCACGCAAGAAGGGTGAAGCCAAGATCCCGCTTGCAAGACGAATCCGGGTCTGGGTTTCTGGCTGTACGCCTGCTGCGCATGCTCCAACTGACCTGGTCAAGGCTCAGCAGCAGGGGAAAAAGGAACTCCGCATGGTCCATGGGCAAAGGGATTCTTTGGATAGCCGTTTCTGGCAGGGTTGGGCAAGCGGGTTCAGACAGCAACCCATGTGCTTCACAAGCACGTCATAAACGCACTTCTTTGGGGACCCAAACTATTCTCTCCCAGAAACAGGGAATCTGACAAACTGCACCAAACCTGCACCAGGCCCGAGGTCGCATACCAAAACCTTTTGTTTCAATTTCCCCGACTAAATGGCCCAATCAGCCACCACCCGCTTGTATCATTGCCAGACCTCCTACGTCTACCTTTTGACCCCCCCAGAGCCCACAATGAAGCTTCCAGCGGGACATCCTGCATCTCCAAAATGCAGAATGAGAGTGTCCCAAAATTTGTGGTGCCCCGCAAGACGGCGAGGGGGCCCTGGCGTTTTGCCTTTGGGTCTCTCCCCCCAAAAGAGCATCCTGTAATACTATCTTCCGAAGCGCTCACCCTGCTCACCCCACTCACCCCGCCTGAGAGCTCCACGACCCGTTCCTCGCCGGACATTGCAAAGCATGGGCACAGGGCCCTGTCTGAACAGAAGCGAAAGCCAGGCCGACAAGTCTCAAGTACAACCACAAGGCTTAGGCCCGCAAAATTGGGCAACATGGGATGTGTGTTTTTGAGACGCTTGAAAGGGAAGCTAAATGGAAACCACATCTTTTAGAGACAAGCCCAACTGCTGGCCTCTGCCAACACCATGAAGTTCCGAGGCTGTCAACTTTTCGTGGTTCAGGCACAAACAGTTGAGATTAAAGTCACCCCAGGTCCCTGCTGCTACTACTTGCTTCGTATCTTGGAACCTGTGCAAACAACTTCCAAACTGGACCCGGTTTGAGGGCGTCGGGCTGCAGCCCTTTCAAACTTTTCGGTGTCTTTAAGCGACGGTCCATGATTGAACCTTAGGAGTCCCAGTTCATGGCTGCCTTTGGCACCATAGGCTCAAGGAAACTGGGCTGTCGCCATGGGGACGAACTGAGTGTTGCCATGATTGAGTTCGGGCCAATTGACACACCTCCCCATCTTCACAACCCTAAACCCTCCTCCCTTCCTCAACTTTCCTTGCTGACCAACCCCTCTCACCAAACCTGTTTGGCAATCCTCAACCAAGCTACTTTTAGACCTCTGCTTTTTCTCTGTTCTAGTGCCACCAACATCACAATCGACGCAAGCTGCACACCGAAAACCGAAGATTCGACTCGGGCTCCCGAGATTCGACTCGGCCGATTCGGAAAACCGGCGTCCGCCTGCAGCTCCTGGCGGCTGTGCTCGCTGCTCTGAAGCTCCTGGCGCAGCCGCAGCTCGCTGTCCCCGCTGGCGCCTCCGAAACTTCAACCCCGGGTCGGTCTGGGAGGGTGGGAAAAGCTCGAGTTTGTTGGCATCATTGTTTAAAATAGGAGAGCTTTAAACAGCAAGTTGCCATGCACCAAGCCAATGAATTGTTCCAAGGTTGGCCGGGTTGCCTTGTAAGGGTCCGAAGCACCAGGTGCCCCCGGAACCGAGGGAAAGCAATTAAAATATTTGAACAATAGTGGTTTGGCCCGACCCTGACGGACAAAGTGGAAAGGGGCCACCCGAGGCTGTTTTGGCGTGTTGGTTGGCACTCCTCCATGGTACACACCCTCTTCGTGTGGTTTCATTGCGAATGGCAAGGCATATCCAAAACTTCTGCACAAGGCTGTGGGAGAACCCTTTCTATGACACACAAAGCGCGCTTGTGACCACTTTATCACTCTAGGGAATTCCATTGGCAATGAGTGGAGAAAATGCTTGCCGAATCTCCTTTCCCACAAACAGGCCACCTGACAAAAAATGTGTTCCTGTCTCATGGCACGTCATTAAAAGGGGTTGCAAGAAGCTTGGTTTTTAAGCTTGGAAGCTCGGGGCAAAACCATCAACCTCGGCTGAACAAATACAATGCACAAGGAGCATAAAGAAGGATGGGAGAAACCAACCATTGACAAAGACCAAAGAGTTGACCTTTTGAGCCCTCCAACAAGGGGCCTCCTATCCCACCCAGAACGTTCGAGGATGCGTTTGTTTGAACCTCCCTTTTCAAGTTGTCCTCTACCAACCCCAAATGAAGACGTTCGACATCAACTCATTTGGCTTTGTTCCCTGTAACAGACTCAAGGCAACTAGTGGTTTGGGGCAGGTCCAAGGTCAGTCGCCGACACTTCATAGGCAATCCCTGTCCCTGTCTAGATGATGCTTGAAAGGCAGCCACAGGAAAACACCAAAAGACGTGGGGGCGCCTCCTGTTGAGAACCCCCCCCCACCAAATACGTGTGGCCCTTAGAGCTGTTTGTCAGCTTTTGCCAAGCCCTACAAACACCCAGCTCTAAGGGCCTCCTCTAAATCCCCTCGTAAAGGTCATTTATGAACTGGCCCAATTGTATTCTTCAAGTCGAGAAGCCCCAAGCCTGATTCTCCCAAAACATTTCTCTCCGCCCTAATAGGACGAAGCCCTGAGTCCCGGGCGGAGGCGCTCGTTCACGCGGCCCAACTCCTCCTCGGCCCTGGCCTTGTAGGCCTGTGCCAAACTTGCTGGTTGGCAAACGAATAGGCCAAAACGGTGCGCATCTTTTGGAAGGTGCACTTTCTAGGCTTGTGAAAAGAAAACGCCAAAGGGAAATCACACTTTGGTCCCCCCTATTTTGACACATGCCCAAATTGGCGACGGCGCACACGGTCACGCGGTAGATTTGGCGGACTTCCTCCCCGTTGCCGGCGGCACCTCCAGCTCTGACCGGGCTTCCTCACTGCCCGAGGCCTCGAGGCTGGGGTCAGTGGGAAATGGATCGGACAAAAATGACAAAAGGGCTTGGGCGAAAATATGCGAAAATGGAGGGTGTCGACCTTAGACCGCTGATGCTTAAAGAGAGGCACCATCCCCTCGATCGTGGGCCAAATGTGCCTTTTCAGCAGATTGAAAACGGCAACTGAGCTCAAAACAACAAATGGACCCCATTGAATTCCATTTTGGGTAATCAAGAGGTTTCCCACCCTCCAAAAATCAAGGGGGGTTCATGCCTTTTACATCGGGAGAAAAAACAAACAAACATGGTAGCTATGTGCGGGTGTTCATGCTGTTTTGCAGTCGCAATTTGGCGCTAACTAAGATGGAGCCAACATAGCCAGCGGATCCCAGGCAAGCCCATATAGTAGGCAAAGGTGTTTGTTTCCTCTTGGTCCTTAAAGGGTGGCGTCCCTCGGTTACCTACTATACAGGTAAATGGATCCAATGGGGACCCCCAAATCGTACTTCCCAAACCCTCGAAAGCGGGTCCCCGGTTGAAGGACACACTCACATGCAACTGCGAATGCCTTTCAATCTGAAACGGAATGAACATGCCCCCCCACCCCCGAGATCTCCCATGCCGCGTGCCTGGGCACGCAGGCGCGCCCGCAGTTTGGCGAGCTCCGTGCTAGTGGCAGCGGCCGCCTCCTTCCTCGGAACCCCAAAAGCGCTGAGCCCGTGGAGTCCCTGTATATTGTTTATATTGAGAGTAACCAACCACCACAAAATCCTGGTGGTCAAGTACGGAATCTTAGTCTTGCAATATTTGGAGCATCAGCTGTATGTGCAAAAAAAGGTTCTTCGCAGCCACAAGTACCCTGCAACATCCCGCAGTGCCATTCTTTCGAGGGACCCATGGAACACGTGCCCGAGAACCAGAGCCTGGCTCTCTTTCTCCCTCTCAAGCGGCACGAACCACCTCTGAACACCTCTTCAGCTTCCCTGCACTTCAGCAATTTCCTTGGGCTGGTGTTCGCTAGCACCGTCCTTTTTTAGTGTCCAAGCAAAGAACAACTTCATGAGCGCTGCAAACCCAAACCTTTGACACACATCCTAGCGCTTCCAGCTTCCATGTGCGTAGCCCACCATGCAAGTCAGGCGATTTGCTGGTGAGCTCACAAACATTTCCCCGGAGGTCAGCAGCTGCTAACGACTGCATGGACCGGAAACGAATTGCATGTTCGGCACTTGTGATTCGCGCGGCCTGTTCCACCATTGGGGTGTCTCTCTCTAAATAGGAAAACGCAAAAACCTGTGGTGGTTCCTTTGAACGTCGCTTAAAACCACTCTGCAAAGGGTACACCCAAGAAAAGACCACACCCATCTTGTGCCCGAGTCCAAACATCATAAATTCTAAAGCTGATCCTCGCGTTTTTCTATTTTAGTCTGCCCCAAGAAAGGTGTGATTGGGGTGCGCTTGGAGGTCAAGGAGGTGTGAAAACAAAACTTAGATCAAGAACTCCTGGAGACGTCTCCTTTCAGGATCGAAAAGGCACCCTTTTCTGAATCGTTTCTTTCTGGAGCACTGTTCAGCTGTTCAAGGTAAAGGATCGCAATAGTGTTCGCATGCTTCTTTTGAAATGAGGGACCTGCCATGTCTGATTTACCATGCTTCCCAAACCTGGTTGTGGTTGTGGGGAATAACTCTTCCTGTTCTACCCAAGTAAGATTCTGTTCCCTCTGACCCATGAAGTCCCAAACCTCATTTCCCGAAACAAGGAATCCCGAAACAGAACCCCCATGTAAAAGGAACGCCCTATGGGCCTTCTCGAAACGACTGTTGCGGAAAAGCAAAAGGAAGCGACCTCGAGTCCAAGTTCCCCCCCCACCCCGCGCCCCTCGACCCCACAACCCCCACCAACGAGCCCCTGTCGTCTGGGGCCCCCGGCCCCTCCTTCTCCAGGTCCGAGGCACGCGCCTCGGCGCGCTTGATGCGCTCACGCCAGGTCTCCTGGACCGACGGCCGATTCACGGCGCTGTGTGGTGCTTGGCGTTTTTGGCTTCATTCTCCCAAAGTAACGGGAGACAGCAAGCAAAACCGCGCTCCGAAAACGATCATGTATGTCTGTTTTCTTTCTTGGGTTGCCCAAGTCACAAACTATGTGATTGGTCATGGCGTGAGGGCCACCTGCGGTGGTTTTTACCTCCAAAAGGCCCTCTCCTGCGCTTTGAGGAGTTCCTGCTCCATGTCTCGCGCCTGACGCCCGATCCGACAACAGAAATCAGCAAAACAAAAACACGTGGTTGCTCAGAGCAGGCCTCTCACACACAAACACAAAAAGTATGTGCGCTCTTGAGGGTGCTTTGGTACCCGTTTTGGTGCTGATATGTTTCCTCTCGGTTCCACGCCCGACTCGCATTGCACCTCCTGCTTCAGGCGCCGCACCTCGATGGCGGCGCGCTCCTGGAAACAGGACATCTGGGCCCAACACGGGTGGGGTCCTTTCCCTTTTGAGGGGGCACCCCCGGTTTTAAAGTTGTTGTTTTTCTTAACCAACCCAAACAAATGCAAAAAGGAAGCAAAGACCTCAAAAAAAAGATGCCTATCGGCTCGTAGACAGTTTCGCAAATGGTTGAGGGCTCATGGACCTTCAAAGGGAATCCCAAAATCAAACAAATAGGATTATTCAAAGTGCAATTGTCGGCAAAACCGAAAATGGCTGTCAAAAACAGGTAAAAAACTCATTGGTGTTCACTTGGAGTTCCTTTTGAAACAAAGGGGATCCAATCATGTTTTGGGACAAGATCTCGCCTGACGTTGATGTGTGTGTTTATCCTTCCACCATGGAATTGGATTTGCAGGAGCCATTATGAAATTGAAGGCTTAGTCTTCGCAAAGGCAAAAACAGGGTGCCTATCATAGAGGGCGGTCCTTCTCCTTGAATGTTTCAACTGGCATACCTCGAGGAAAGCTACACTCTCGGGCAACCATACAATAATAAGAACCCCGTCTGAAAGCACAGCCACTTTCAACATTCACCATGTTTCCATCAGGGATAATGTGAGCGTGCCCCATGCCAAGCCCCGAAAAAAACGTGCTCTTCTCAAGGCTTCGAAAAAGCCAATCTACTTTTGTTACCACACTCAAACAACCAAGCTCCATTTGGTGTCCCGTCGAAGGTTCAAAATGCTGATGGGACCCGCGAAGAATAACCTCCGGCCATCCTACCCGCAGCCTTCAACTCCTCCGCCTTCTGCTCTGCCTGCAGGGCACCCGGCTGGAGAGTTTGCCTTTGCTCCTTTGGCAAACCAAGGGACCGTCCAGAGGGTCTCTACAAGTACAGGTGTTCCAACAACCTGCTGAGGGTGAACGTTGTATTCCGAAACTAAAACGTTGTACTTCGGAAACTAAAACGTTGTATTCGGAAACTTCGGAAACTAGTATTCGGAAACTGGGCAACGTTGTGTTCGGAAAGTAGTATTCGGAAAGTAGTATTCGGAAACTGGGCAACGTTGTATTCGGAAACTAGCGGTATTCGCAAACTGGTATTCGGAAACTACCAGCCAGTATTCGGAAACTCGCAACGTTGGGTTCGGAAACTAGTATTGGGTAACTAAAACGCGGTCTTCGGAAACTGGTGGTAAACTGGGGGGTGCGTGACAATGGGACAGTTGATAGTCGAAGAACGTGTGGGTGCTCTTGAGCAGGAACTTTGGCAGGCATGTGTGCAGTGCTGAGCAGGTGCACGTGAGAACGTGCGCATACCAATTGGCAGCCTATAAGGCCGAAGCCCCCCCTGCTGTTGAGCCCTGCTTTTGAGCGCTGATTTTTCGCCCCCAACCTGGTTTTGCGCCCAGGTCGAAAAAAGGGTTCCTGCCTACCCCTACGGGTATGTGGACACTTCAGGTCTATTTGTCAGAAGCTATTAGAGTTGGAGTCTGCAAAATCATTCCCATCCACGGTGGGTCCTTCCCTTCCCTTTCACCGGGTCGATCAAGGTGACATCCTCAAAATTACCTGGTTGGAACTACACCCTCAAGTTCTTCAGCGACCCTTTTTCACCCTTTACCCCCTCGCGTCGCCTGCTCCGCGCGCTTCAGGAACTGCTGCGCCTTCTCCTCCGCCTTTTTCACCACCTCCCCGGCCTGAAGCCGATGAGTAGACAAATCAACAAGTATACGTGCAAGGAGGTAGCAAGATAGATAGGTGTAGAAGGCTACCTGGAAAGATTAAAAGACTGACAGAGACACACATAGAGATGGATAGACAAATCTAGGCAGATCAAGAGGTGCTGTAGGTAGTTGGATCTATAGACAGATAGACAAACAGATACATGGATAGAAGAAACAGAAAGCGAAGCAAATTAAGGGAAGAAAAACGAGAAAACATGAGATCTATGCGTAGCGTTTTCCCGACAGAGAAAGAAAGAAGAGAAAGAGAACGGAAAGAAAGAAGAGAAAGAGAACGGGATAAAGAACAATGAGTATGAAATTGAGAATGAGAAAGAAAAGAACAAGAGAAAAAGAACAAAAAGAAAGACAAAGGATGCCATAGTTCCGGCTTTTCCGGCTCTGAATGTGCAGAAAAGACACCATTCTATGCTGGCGCTGGAGCTGCCAGAGCAAGATTCCCCCTCGCTGGACCATGCCCCATGGACACCCCTCAACCATCCCGACCACGCCGAACAAGCCTGATTATTCGATGAATTTGTCCGGTGCGAAAAGTCGGCATTTCGCACCTCACAAGACTGGACCATGCCAACCTCCCGAACACCCCCCAACCTCCAAACCACCCCAAACGCCCAAACCAGCCTCATTCTTCGATGAATTTGTGAGGTGCAAAAAGTCGGCATTTTGGCACCCCCAAAACTGGACCACGCCGACCTCCCAAACACCCTCAACCTCCAAACCACCCCAAACGCCCAAACCAGCCTCATTCTTCGATGAATTTGTGAGGTGCAAAAAGTCGGCATTTTGGCACCCCCAAAACTGGACCACGCCGACCTCCCAAACACCCTCAACCTCCAAACCACCCCAACGGCCCAAACAAGCCTCATTCTTCAATGAATTTGTGAGGTGCGAAAAGTCGGCAGTTGCCTCCCAAACACCCCAACCTCCAAACCACCCCAACCGCCCAAAGAAGCCTCACTCTTCGATGAATTTGTCCGGTGCGAAAAGTCGGCATTTCGCACCTCACAAGACTGGACCATGCCGACCTCCCGAACACCCCGAACCTCCAAACCACCCCAGCCGCCCAAAGAAGCCTCATTCTTCGATGAATTTGTGAGGTGCGAAAAGTCGGCATTTCGCACCTCACCAAACTGGAACATGCCGACCTCCCGAACACCCCGAACCTCCAAACCACCCCAACTGCCCAAACAAGCCTCTTTGTGAAGTGCAAAGAGTCGGCATTTCGCAGCCCACAAAACTGGACCATTCCGACCTCCCAAACACCCCAACCTCCAACCCACCCCACCACCAAGGTTGGAACTTTAGTTGCAATGCTTTTCAAGTTCAGGCCATCTGGTCAAGTTGTTCTAATTCATACGAGGAAAAGACCTTTAACATGGTTCTTCCACCCGTTTTATCCCTGAATCGGGGAGCTGGTTTCAAGCTAACCCATACTATCAGGGCTAATGACCATCAAGGTCCCTGAATGACTCTCTCTCTCTCTCTCTCTCTCCCTCTCACTCTATTCATAGTTAACTCCCCCTCCGTATCCCCACCCCCCCTCAAATGTGATTTTGAGTGGCTTCCGGTCCAAAAATGAAGAAACACGTTCATGTTGAATCTTGGGCTTTGTAGAGCTTAGTAGGCCTAAGTAGGCCTTAGTAGGCCTTAGTAAGGCTTAGCAAGGCTCAATCATGCTTTTTGCTTCGAGTGATAGCAAGGCTCAGCAAGTCTCAGTAAGACATGGAGTAGCCTGAGTGCTACTGAGTTTTGCTGAGAAGTTGGAACCGTCATGATTCCTATGTGTGCGGTCATTTTCTTAGCTCTCATTTGTGCTGCAACTGCGCCGCACACTGAACACCTGTGAATTGAACATCAGAGAAATGTGGACCTGGTGGCAGTCAAAAGCACTCAGTAGCAATCAGCAAGTGCTCATTAGCATTCAGCAAGCACTCAGTCGCAGTCAAAAGGCACTCAGCAGCACAGCAGCGCTCAGCGGCACTCAGAAACACTCAATCACAACCTAAAACAGCGCATTCTTGGAATCCCGGCTCAGTAAGCACTCAGTAGCACTCAGTAGCACGCAGTAGCACTCAGGACCTCTCAATCACCCCGCAAGAACACAGCACATGGCGGTCCAGCCTCAGCAAGCATGCAAGATTTCAGTGGCACGCAATAGCGCTTCCAGCCCCAGGCAAGCTTGATTATAATGTGCTATGCAAAATTGTGGTCGGGGTTCCACATGCCAAATCCTCGCTGGGCTGAGTGCTTAGCAACACTCGGTGAGTCTTACTTAGATTTTGACATTTGGGTTTAACTAGCCTATGATCTCTCTCTGAATCAGACCAAGCTCCATCCATGCCACACCGGTGACCAACTCGCGACAAAAGCGACCAAAGCGACAAAAGCGACTCGTGCGCCTTGCCGCGGAGGGCCTGCGCCTGCTCCAGCCGCGTGGTCTCCCGGGCCTCCATCTCCGCCAGGGCATTGGAGAGGTCCGCCAGCTGCCGCCTCACCCAGGCGGGAAGGCTCCGAGTGCTACGAATCCATTTCGGCAGGTTGATTCAGGTCCACGTCAAGAAGCTTGGGCTGTTGAAACCTAGCCCTGACAAGACGGTGATGATTGGACAAGCCATCTGGCTGTTGCCCAATATGAGACTCCCCCTTTTGTTGGATGGCTTTTCAGGCAAAACGAAACGGAGCAATGAAATGGGTCCCTTACGTTTGGAAGCGCAGGCCTTACCAAAAGGGGTGAGCAAAAGCAGGGCTTGCTTTTTGGTCCCTTTCTGGTTGAACATATTTGGACAACCGCAACCAGCTGTTTGTTGTTTTTCGCCAGAAGGTGTCACAAGGCAAGTTCTGCGCAAGAAAACAGGGGTTCAGCCAAGTCCATGTGCCGAAATTGGAGAATGGAAGTATTGCTTCCTGCAGGCAAACGAAGTTCACATAAGCCCAGCAGTCCAAATTCGGCTCACATAACGAAGTTGCAAAAGGCGCCTTCGAGATTCCGCATGGCTTTTAGCGGACTGCAACTCCGGAAGATGCTGAGATGGACTACCCTTAAGAATGGCTCGTGGTTGTTGTAATGGCGATATTGGAATCCTCGTTTCCATGTTTATTGTTTTCGTTAAAAAGAGCCCATAGGTGGCCTTTTTTGTAAGAGAAAAGGGAAATAGATGGCACTGGTGTAGTGTGGGGTGCATCCTCATGAGCCGCGTAAGGCAACGACGAACAGGTAAACAAGCCAACTCCGCACGCACGCATGCGCAGACACAGAGACACACACACACACGCGCAAACACACGCATGAAGCAACACCATGAACCAGATGACCCTGGTATGACTCTCGCCACGTGCTCACACAAGACTGCTAGACGTGGCTGGTTGGGACATCCAGTTGAAGCCGCGTCAATCTGGGATATGTTACTGTTTCATCGCCCGTGAGCCCATGTTTCGAGATTGCTTCTCAACCCAAGACTTTGGTTTTGCGTCTCAGCATCTGGCAGCCGGTGCGCTTCTTGCGGGCTCTGGGCTCCTTTTGCCTCAGCCTTCCTTTTGCTCGGTGGCGTTGCCTGACAGCTTTTGAGCTGCTTGGCCCGTACACTTCTTATTTTTCTTGGAGGTCAGGCTGGTTCACACAGGTGTTTGGTTTCGGCGTTGGCCTGGGCAGCTTCAATTGCAGCGCTGCCCGCTTCCAGCACACACAGCGCGACCCCGACAATGAAAGAGAGCCCTGTTTTCAGCCATGTCCTTCCACTGAGCGTGGTCAGTCGCAACCAGAGCAAGCGGCTTAAACTGGCCCAGGCGCGGGTTTGAGCTGAGGCAAGCCACGGCAAGCCAACCATTGGAAGGGCCGCCCAGCGGCTGCGCGCCCCCCAACTGCTTTTACGCGGACCACATGCAAATCCAACCTCTTAACACAATGACCACGAACACTGCTACAAGCGAACCGCAACAGTTTGTTGTGGTTCTTGCATGGCCATGGAGATACCTTGGTCGAGGCATACAGCGAACTGCGAAGGCAGTCGAACTACATCTGGCCGCAGGTTGTTGCAGCTGAGGCAAGCACGGGCCCGGCCAGCTTGGAGGAAACCACGGGCCGCAGCAAGGGGTGCTCGAATCGACATGCGCAGCGCCCCGCACAAAAGCGAACCGCAACAATTTGTTGTGGCTCTGCTAACGTTCAAGGCGGGCAAGAACTGCTGCGGTTCGGAGATTTCCTCCCTGCGCACCCCGTTTCATGGCGCAGCAACCGCAAGTAGGCAACCTGCAATGTTTCTGCCAGCCAGTGTAGATGCTGGGCCGGGACGGGACCCAGATGACCTGGTACGGGACCCAGATCCGGGACCCGGATCCGGGACCCGGATTTGGGACCACCCGGAATGAATCCGGGACCCGGACCGGACGGGGCCCAGATCCGGGACCCGGATCCGAGACCCGGATTTGGGACCATCCGGGACGGGACCCGGATTTGGGCCACCCAGAAAGAATCCGGGACCCGGATCCGGGACCCGGATCCGGGATCCGGTAATGATCCGGGACCCGGCCCGGGACGGGACCCAGATCCGGAACATGGATTGGAGACCCGGATTCGGGACCACCCGCCGACTTGGAATGAACCCGGACAGGAAAAGCAGCGGAGGCAGCTACCCTTATACTACTGCAGACTAAAAATACACCTATAACCTGACAAAGTGTACCCCCGACCAAGACATACCAAAGTTCATGGAACGTGGTGGGAGCAGAGTTTGGCCACATTTCATAAATGGGCTTGTCATTGCTGGGTCTCTTTTTGAGGGTATATGTTGTTGATGTTGTTGGTGGTTTTAAAGCGCAGGGAAAACACCCGCTTCGGGTGGTAGACAGCGGAGGCTTGAAACCTTCAGGCAGGTCCTGTCAGGTCCCCCCCCCCCCAAACAAAACAACTTAGAAAGGCAAAAGGTCCTTGGTCGAAGCAAAGGAGACGTTCAGGTCGATCCCCCGCCCTGGGACTTTTCGGCCGCGGGGCTCCCTCTGCTTCAGGTGGCCCTGCGCCTCAGCCAGCTCGCCCGCCACCCGCCGCAGCTCCGCCTCGGCAGGGGCTCATCGGGGGCACTCTCCAAATGAGGAGGTTCTCACCCTAAGAACTCTTTCTAGCCCTTTCGTCTACATGGCACAGGTCGGAATTCATCCAGGTTCCTCCTGGGAATTTAGCTCAAGGAGTGTCCCCAGCCAGCCGTGGAATCCCCCGAAACCTGCCCGCAACCCTTCAAAGGGAATGAGCAGGGGGTCTTGACAAAAGGTAAACATGTTCAAGCCGCTGCTTGACGTCAATTGCTGTTCAGGCTGCCCTATCTGCGATACCATTTGGTGGGATGGGAATCTATCGTGAACACAAAGGTTCTAGTATCGATGGCTTCACACATATTCGGGGGTACCCAATTCCTGTTTTGGTTGCAACTGTTGGGGATAAATGCATATTTTTTGGGGGGCAGCCCAATGAAAAAGGCAAAGCCACTTAAGCGCACTTGAAAACCCCCCAAAAAAATAACGCCCAGGCCTCCGCAGCTGGGCTGTGAGGGCTGCAACTCTCCTTTGCATCGCCTGAGGAAAAGGCATCCGCTCTGCGTCGGCCATGGATATCTCCGAAAATGGGGGGAGATGGAAGGGATTCTGATGGAAACCAAGAGGATCCCCGTTTCTGAACACACCCATTTCCCTTTTAAAGCTGACCAGGGTGGGCTGGGCCACCATCTGTTATGTTGCGAACTTGTGTTACTCACTCTTGCTCGGATATCCTCATCAATCTCTTTGAAGGAGAAGGGTTTGGTTGTTGAAACCAACTTCTCTCTTATGCTCTCAGAAAGCAGCCCAACACCCGGGAAATCTACTCGTGTCATCCGCATTTGGCTTGCGCCCGAAGGCTAAGGATCATCGCTTCAAAGTTCGCGCCTGGCTCCGAGAGGTCCTTGCCACGGCTTGGAAGGGCGCGGTCGTGGGACATGGTTCCCTATGCTTCCCCTTAAAACACCCCTACCAAGAGAAACCTGCAATGGGCCAAAAACCCTCTCAAAGACTAACAAGGCATCTAAGTAATGGGAACTCAGGAATCATAGGCTCCTGGTTGACTCGTCCTTCACTTTTCATGAAACCCACCAATGATCCAACAGGTTGATGCATTCAGGGCCGACATTCACACGAGAACCAAAAACGTCATCCATGTTTTGAGGAGTCGCCTCAAGGCAAAGGACATCCTTCTTGAGCTCTCGGGGGGAGGGGGGCGTCTGAAAACGTAACTTGCATTTCACTAGCAGGGTACCTCAACATTGTGCGCATGCGTCACATCGGAATCACCGGCTTGCAGTTTATAGCCTTTCCTAGCCACATTTGCCACTGGTGGCTATCCCTACCTGCCCGCATGCCTTCAGAAACCCGTGTGCATGCACCACACTGACCTCAAAAAAGGGGGGGACGGCAATCTTTGATGGAAAGGCGGAAACATACACCTGGGGTGGGTGTGCTTACATTTGTTTCTTGTGGGGGAGGGCGCAGAGGGGAAATGCTTGTTACATTTTCAGCCCGCACGCCCCACCCTGAAAGTTCCATAAACTAGTGGACATCTTGACGGGGCACGGGTGGCAGTGGCAGCTCAAACCTAAACTCTATGGTAAACCAATTTGTGCCTGAAATAGGAAATACTATGAGTTGAACTTCGGGGATGGCTTCTTAAGCACCATTGCAAAGCAAAGAATGTCCAACCTTTCAAGCTCTTGCTCTTGACTTTTCTTTAAACACCAACCAACAGGTTGCCCTTTTCCGCTTTAAGAACACTCGCATTGACCAAATGGCATGTGACCCTTTGCAAAGGGGTCTCTCTCTTCAAAGGCTGCGCCCAAACCAGGGGCCGCAAACCGGATTGCAAGGCTTGAACATGCATGAAGCTGTCAGGAAATCTGAAAACACCTCGTTAACGGCATTCAACTTTAGCACGTTGCAACGCATAGCTCATCAGAACCCCGGACCTCGCTCCTTGATGGGAACCTCGGCAACCGTGCTCTGCGCACCATCGGGGCCCCCCGCGCCCTCCGCGCCCTCCGCGCCCTCCTCGCCCTCCGCGCCCTCCTCGCCCTCCGCGCCCTCCGCACTCTCCGCACTCTCCGCACCCTCCATGCCCTCTGCCATGTCGCTGCTGGGTGCGAGTTCCGGCTGGACATTGGGCAGTGCCGAGTGTGGAAACGGGCTCGATGGGCTCGACGGGCTCTCCTCCGACACCTCTGCGATCTCTGCATCCGCATCGAGGTCTGCCAGGTCACCCTCTGCTGGTGCCTCGGTCTGCCACACTGCAGGCTCCACCGGCTCCGCAAGCTCCGCGGGCTCCAGCTCTGCAGATTCCGCTGCCTCCACGCGCTCAGGCCCAGCAGGCGCAGGTTCCATGGGCTCAGGCTCGCTAGTCTCTTCTCCGTTCATCCCCTGACTTTCTTCAGCCTCTGTCTCGCCCACGTCGACCTTGTCGATGGCCTCGACCTCTGCAAGCGTGGCCTCTGTGTCTGCACCAACCACATCCAGAGCTGAAGGCTGATCGATGGCCTCAGCTGTTCAACCTAAGAAAGCCATTGCGGACTCGTGAATTCCAACCCCCAATCACCAATCAACAAATAGAGCACCCCTCCTGCAGAGTATGTAGAGGAAGCCACAAACAGTCCAATCCCGCTTTCGACGAATCCGGCAAAATCCATCCCAAAGGAAAGCTTTTCGGCAAAGGGCAGTCTCCAAGTTCCAGCCAGGGCGCCAAGACAGGCGCGCTTTCTGGCGCCTAAGGAAGCCCAAGGCCCAAGGAGTGCTTCAGGTGACCAGCCCCCGCCCCCCCCGCCCTGGATTGGCTGCCAAATGGCCCCAAAATAGCCCAAACAAAACCACAGAACAAACCATTTGATAGCCGTTCCGGGGAAAAGGGATGTAAAGTTTGAGGATCGGGAAGACAATTCACCGAACACACAAGCAAGATTGGTTGACTTGTTTCTCCCCCCCCCAACAAAAAAGAAAAGAAACAGAAACGAAGCTTCGGATTCAAGTCGTGGAAAAGTACCCCACAAGGTGTGTCATTGCTGTGCCATGATTTAAGAGAGTTCGCAAGAAGCTCACTCTGACCTTGTGGGAAATGAGACTCCAACTTTCTGAGATACTAAGGGAATCTTCCTCTCTACGATGATCAAGTGATAAGAGGACCTTAGCTTCTGAAACTTGCTCCTTTGGCAATCTGCCAATCTGCCGCGCTGGCAACCGTCTTCCAGCATGTTCTTTGACGACTGCCTAGGACTGGATCTGGACAATGGCAATTCACACATATGAATATCGTTGGGAGCCCAGTGGACATTGAGGCAGAAAACCTTTGCTTTGTCTATTGATGGGTGAGCTGGTGAGCTCATACTCTGTCTCAACCCCGCCTCTCGCTCCTCCGCCTCGACCAGAGCACCGCGTCCCTCCGTGTCGCGCGTCTCGCCTCGACCCTGGGGAGCTGTCGGTCTCTCTCAAGGCGCCAAGGCGCTACCGGAAAAGCAAAGTACGGGTATAATTCGGCCTGAATTTGTATTGGGGGTCCTTTGGTGGACGTCACCATCATTTACTTGGGGGTCTATGCGCCCACAATCCATTTTTGAGGATGTTCCTGGCCAATATGGTGAAGCAGGGACTTGGCACGCCTTGCCTCAAAGGTAAGCCCAAAGGAGGTTGCTTGACCAATAGTTGCCTAAAGACTCACATGATTGGACCTCCGGAAGCTGACAAGTGAAAGGCTCCAGTTGCTTGCCTGCCCAAAGAAGCCGGAGTGCGCCAAAGGGGGGGCCTGAGGGTGAACAATTATCATGCGACGCCCTCTGGATATGTCACTCCCGGATCTCTCTGAAATCCAACGGCAGCCGAGGCAGACGCTATGAACTTTCAGCCTTCCCTTTGGCAAGCTTGCCCTTTGAAGAATCGTGAAACCATGCAGAGTGAAGTAATTGTTCTGTGCTTCGAACTCCGTGCGCTCCGCCCCAAAACCCGAGAGCCCGCCTCTGACTCTGCATGGGGCGAGTCCTGAGCCTCTGCGTTCCAGGTTGAGGGTTCAAAGATGGAAACAAAGGAGAAGAAGGAAGGAAGGAAAACATAGGTGACAAATTGGGTGGCTAGATTGCACCATAGCAGCTCAACGGCATGTTGGTGCAAGTTGTAAAAGGCCGAAGGTCGAAGAGCAAGACACCATGATGCCAGCCTTCTCTCCCCTTCTGAGTCTGACTAGGAAGTTTCGGGGAACTGGGATTGTCAGGCTAAAGAATTACAGTACAAACATGATTCTCTCCCCTCCCCCCTCCTCATGAAGCAACCTCATTCCAATACAGCGAGAACTGATTACTGCAATCTCTTGCCCACCGGCCCCAGGCAATGGCTCCTGTGATGATTTGGTGCTACCCAAACATCCATGGGCAGACATGTCAATGTGCTGAAACGAGTTGACGAGAGGGTGCAAACCTCTGTTGCTTTTCCCCGTCGATTACGAGAACATCCCAAGCAAACAAACCTTTGAAACAGGAATTGAACTCCCTACGTCGACTGCCGCTGGGATGCAAAAGTCCACAGTCTCGGCCTCAAAGTGGGCTGGAAAATCCAAGCGTGGCCGCAACTAGGCGGTTGCAGCGTTGAGGGTCGGTGGGAGACGTTCCGCTTTGAATATAGGACTTGTGCTGTTTACTTTTATCCGGCATGACACGCACATAGGCCGGTGTCTGCTGAGAGTGCCCTTTCCAGTGCCAGGTTGTTCTTTTTCGGGAAGCCAAATGGATAGCCATTCTGGGCATCCCAATCTCGAAGTCATGACGTCGAAGTTCTCCCTATGAATCTGGATCCCCTCAAGAGGGATGGGCCTACCAGGGTGAAAGCCAAGACTTGGAGGCAGCCATCTGGCCCGGGAAAATGTCTGACTGCTCCAAAGAACATCAGGCAGCTACCACCAAGAAGTCCCTTTGAAGGCCTAGGCTAAGGGAAGAGGCCGAAAACAAAAGGCAAAACGAAGGGAGGCAAAACACTTTCTCCAAGACAAAACCATCAAGACAAAGTCGCTCGGATTCAGACTGCTTTCCAGGAACCCGGGAATCTGTCCCATGACCTTCGTGGTGCAGCGTCATGGTGGCCAAGTGCCGCAGATCGCAAAACGAGGCGTTCCCAAACCAGTTGCCGTTTGAGATCGCAGCGCCCAGCTTTAGTCGGACGGCCAAAAGTCAGCTGCTTTCGCCGCTCCCGGTGTTTCAAACCAAGGCACTTCGTCCAGGACATCATCGAAACCTGGGGCTTCGTGTGCTGAAGGGCCCAAACAAATGTGTGGCTTCCAATTGGCGTCCTTTCAACCCATCTGAAAAGGGCACCCCCAAAAAACACACACACCATTTGCCATGGTGAATGGTTGTCCTTCCTTACTGAAGAAGGAGTGGTTTGACCATGGCACATATGCATGCTTATCGAAATCAAAGTTGACCCGCACATAGCAACGAGCATCCAAAAAGGGTTGGAACACGATCATCGGACAAAACCATGTGGAGCCACCAGCCGCAAGGCCATCCATGCCATCTATGCCACTTCCCACCAACTGACGGGCAGAGCAAGGGGGCACTGCAAGGGGGCACTGCCAAGAGAATCCAGGGCGGCCCCTGGACTGCATGCAGACATATTCAGGGGCAAGGGATATGATGGGAACTCAGTTGCTTTGGGGTACTCTCAGCGAACAAATGCTGCTTCAAAGGACTGGCCTTCGTTCTTGCTTGGCTGATGCATCAAGTGTCCTCCAGCTGTTTCACGGACCCATGTAAGTTCAACATGCCTGCGAAATCCGCGGATCATTCTCAGACCATCCAACCTCTGCTGTTGGAGCCAGCAGCCCTTGTCAGGAGTCCCGCAAATGACCTTTCCCAGACCGCATCCCCCATAAAGAGCAAACTCCCCAAAAAAGTTAGCTCGAGGGTTGCTTTCTTGCTTCAATAGGAAAGCGTGACTCTCTGGATGGACGTGAAACCGGCATGCGCTTGAACATACTGTGAATGGACGAAATCCTGCACCAATTTTAAACCTTGTAGAACCATTGTTTGTTGGTATTTGCGGGGAATCATCAGAAACCAGGGGGGTTTCTTCGGTGGTGCTGAATTTCGTCCATCCACAGTGCGATTCTGCACGTGATCTGCAAGCTCAACCCTCCCCCCCTCAATAGACCAACTCGTGCCAAACTTCGGAATTGGAACACGACTTCGAACACATCCCAAACTCATTCTCAAAATGAAACGGAGGCGAGGGCCTGGAGCCTTTAGGCCCAACTTAGAACCATATTCCAACGAAAAGAGGTGGGCCATAATATGCTTGACAACCACCCGAAGTGAAACCAAACCGGCACTGCCCATTTGGATTCCAAAAAGAACCTGGATAACCTCCAGAATTGACAATGAGACTCCGTTTGCCCTTGCTTTCCCTCAGAAACAAGCCAACAAAAACGAATCATACCCAGCAAAAAAAAACACCTCAACGTTGAGTCACACGCCTCCGGAGGTGGCCGCGGCCGGTGCCTCATCAACTGGCCAAAAACCAATGTCAAGGTATTTAAGCTGGCATGCATGCATCACAACAAATCCGCCGACCCCATGCCTGGTCCAGAATGGACCATGCTTTCGGCATGGGGGCGGTGTGTTCTGTGTTGCTTTTGTTGATATGCTTTCTATAAGTTTAATGTGAATATGATTATGTAGATATATATATATATATATAACCTATATGTCCCTTGGGGCGGCCCTTGGGGCTGGTTTCTACGTCGGCTGGATTTCTGGATTTCTGGATTTCTGGATTTTTGGATCTCTGGATTTCTGGATCTCTGGATTTCTGGAATTCTGGATTTCCCCACCCCCTCCCCCCCCGCCCCTCCCCCCCCCCCCTCCCCCCCCCCTCCCCCCCCCCCCACCTCCCCACCCCCCCCCCCCCCCCCCCCTCCCCCTCCCCCCCCCCCCCCCCCCCCTCCCCCCCCCCTCCCCCCCCCCCCCCTTTTTTTTTTTCTCCCTCCCCCCCCCCCCCTCCCCCCCCCCCCCCTCCCTCCCCCCTCCCCCCGGCCTCTTCCCGTAGTCTTCCGTAGTCTTCCGGCTTCTGCCAGTAATCTTCCGTAATCTTTCGGCTTCTTCCCGTAGTCTTCCGTAGTCTTCCGGCTTCTTCCCGTAGTCTTCCGTGGTCTTCCGCCTTCTTCCCGTAATCTTCCGTAATCTTTCGGCTTCTTCCAGTAGTCTTTCGTAGTCTTCCGGCTTCTTCCCCTTGTCTTCCGTAGTCTTCCGTAATCTTCCGTAGTCTTCCGTAGTCTTCCGGCTTCTTCCCGTAGTCTTCCGAAATCTTTCAAGCTTCTTCCCGTAAATTTCCGCAATCTTTCGGCTTCTTCCCGTAGTCTTCCGTCATCTTCCGGCTTCTTCTCCTAGTCTTCCGATACTGTTTCGGGACCAAACAACGCGCGTGTCCTGTGTTCGGGCTTCTTCCCTAGGCTTCGGGTAGTCTTCCCCCACCCCTCCGCCCCCCCCTGTGTCTGTCTATGTCTGTCTACGTATCTGCATCTGTCTTCGTGTCCGCGAAGACCCCCCCTGCCCCTGCGTGTCTGTCTGTGTCTCTTTGTGTCTGTCTGGGTCTGTCTGCGTCTGTCTTCGTGTCCGCGAAGACCCCTTGCGTGTCTGTCTCTGTCTCTTTGTGTCTGTCTGTGTCTGTCTGTGTCTGTCTACGTGTCTGCGTCTTTCTTCGTGTCCCCCCCCCCCGCGTGTCTGTCTGTGTATTTGTGTCTGTCTGGCTCTGTCTGCGTCTGCCTGCGCATCTGCGTCTGTCTTCGTGTCCGCGAAGACCTTCCCCCCCCGCTGCGTGTCTGTCTGCGTGTCTTTGTGTCTGTCTGTGTCTGTCTACATATCGCGTGCTTTCTCTCGTCCCGGGCCGAAATTCTAAGGTGTGTGGGGGCGGCGGAACCAGGCCGCAGGCCATTAAATAAGCTATGTTCATCACAGAAGGTAGTCTGTTCATTGCTGATGGGTACTCAGCAGTTTTTTGTTGAAAGTTCAAGCTTGAAGGTGGCGCACACCACATGCATTCAATGCATGACAGGAAACATTGGTTACAGGATGCAACATGATTTTTCAGGGGAGGGATGGGAAGGGGTTTGTGGTGGGGAAAAGGGTTTGTACTAGCTAGGCTCCATGTTAAAGGTTCCCAAAGACATGGCTAGACTCCATGCAACACATTTAATCATACCAAGACATGGCTAGACCCCATGTCTTGGTTTTTCTAAATTTGGGGGCAACATGTTCGTAACTCACGCTGAGACATGGCTGGATTCCATGTCTTGTTTGTTTGGCATCATGTTTGTAACTCACACCAAGACATGGCTAGACTCCGCGTCTTTGCATTTTCCTGGGGGAGGGAAACATGTTTGTGACTCCATGACTTGTGTTGTTTGTTGTGTTCAAGCGACCCAGTTCCAGGTATGTTTGTTGCAGTGGCCAACTAACAACCAACAACCGGGCAACTAGTTTCATTTCACACTCATGGTTGTTTACTTGCTTGTGCTGAGCACGCTGCATGTTTGTTTCACAATGTGAGGTAGCTAAAGTGTGCACTTGACCTTCACAGGGAGGGCAGGGCTGATCGCACATCCTTGATTACCTGGAGACTGCAAAAGCGAGGCAGCGCCAAACAAATTAGGACCCCGCTGAAAAGCGGGTAAGCGCTGAAAAGCGCAGGGCCCCTCTTCTATTTGAAGCCTAGGATCCCGCTGAAAAGCGGGTACGCGCTGAGAAGAGAAGAGCCCCTGATTTTTTGTCAGAATGGAGAAGGTGCACATCAAGGCCAATCTTGTGCAGGGACTGCGGAATCTGGGGAATTCAGCAGTTGTGAGCCGGACTAGAGTTTCATGCTTGATCCTGAAGAGCATCTAAGGTGTGCTTGGCCAAGCCTGCAAACTTGCTCCAATCCCTTGGACCAGTCCCTCCATGACATGAGGATCCTCCAACATATGCGTACAAACACAACCAACCACAGAATGTGACACACATTTTGGCAGCCAAAGCGCGCTCACTAAAAGCAATAGCCAGCCAATGAAAAGCACACTCCTCACACAACTTCGCTTGTCCAGTAGACACTCTCCTGAACAAGAAGGGTCAAGCTGATCTTTAAAGTTGGGGCTCAGGAGGTTGACTTTCGGGGTAAACAAAGCCATGATGCAAACTTCATGCTTCATGCTAACATCCAGCCGGCACACACACAGACAAAATCCCTTGTTTAAATATGCTCTGCTGTTGTGCTGGCAGTCAGTTTGCACACTCGTGCCAGGAATTAGCCACACATGTCTTGGGCAAGTTGGAAAACATTCATCAGTCACAACATGCTTGCATTTCGTATTACGCTATGTCATTTTGTTGGCAGCCATTTGCAGTGGTATGTTTCAAACACTATTAGCAACTATTGCTTGTGCCCCTCAGTCTGGCCATGCCCCCACTGGGGCGCTCGCCACTGATGAGGCAAGGCTAAACAAACTAGGGCCCTGCTGACAAGCAGGTATATAAGCGCTGAACAGCGTAGGGCCCGTTATGTTTGTCAGAGCCTGGTGCACGGAGAAGGCGCACATCAAGGCCAATCTTCGGCAGGGGCTGTTGAATCTGGGGAACTCAGTAGTTGTCAGCAGGGCTAGAGTTTCATGCTTAATGTCACACTAAGAGCATCCAAGGTGTACTTGGCCACACCCCCAAACTTGCTCCAATTTGTTTGACCAGTCTTTCCATGACATGAGGATCCTCCAACATATGGGCTTGTATTTTTTTACGGGGGCCGAGCAGGAAGGTTTGAGTACGGGGTATGATTCGCAGGTATGATTCGTGGGTGTGATTCGGGGTATGGGGGTATGATTCGCGGAAGCAGCAGCAGCAGCAGCTGCTGCAGCAGCAGCACTAGTAGTAGTAGTAGTAGTAGTAGTAGTAGTAGCAGTAGTCGTCGAAGTAGTAGTACTAGTAGTAATATTGTAGTAGTAACAATAGTAGTAGTAGTAGTAGTAGTAGTAGTAGTAGTAGTAGTAGTAGTACTAGTAGTAGTAGTACTAGTAGTAGTAGTAGTAGTAGTAGTAGTAGTAGTAGTAGTAGTAACAGTAGAAGCAGCGACTGTGGCGCGGAAGCTTTGAAAAGACTTGGCGCTGGCCTTGGCAAGGCAAGTTCATTGAGCGGGTATGATTCGGGTATGATTCGCAGGTATGATTCGGCTAGGTGCAAAACGGCACTGATTACAGACTCAGAATGATGTATGTAGTAGTAGTGAGTAGTAGCAGCAGCAGCAGCAGGAGTCGTAGTAGTGGTAGTAGTAGTAGTAGTAGTAAAGGTCGTAGTCGTAGTAGTAGTAGTCGTAGTAGTAGTAGTCGTTGTAAAAACGGTAGTAGTCGTAGTAGTAGTAGTAGTAGTAGTAGTAGTAGTAGTAGTAGTAGAGGTAGTAGTAGTAGTTAGGAGTAAGGGTAGCAGAAGCAGAAGTAGAAGCAGTAGAGTAGTAGTAGCAGCGGTAGCAGCGGTGGTAGTGGTAATAATGCTCGTAGTCGCGGTAGTAGCAGTAGTAGTAGTTGTTGTAGTGGTAGTAGCAGTAGAAGTACTTGGAGTAGTAGTAGTAGTAGTAGTAGAAGTAGTAGTAGTAGTAGTGGTAGTGGTAGTGGTAGTATTGGATAGCGCTGGTGGTGGTTGTTGTGGAGGCAGTGAACAACACAAAGCGGTAGAAGAACAGTAGCATCTTGCAGCATACGTTTTAAGGGGTATGATTCGGGGGTATGATTCGGGGTATGATTCGGGGGTATGATTCGGCAAGGTCCCACCTTCAGCCTTTTGAAGCACTCAACACACCAAAAAAGGACAAACCCATATGCGTACAAGCACAACCAACCACAGAATGTGACACACAGTTTGGCAGCCAAAGCGCGCTCACCAAAAGCAATAGTCAGCCAATGAAAAGCACACTCCTCACACAACTTCGCTTGTCCAGTAGACACCCTCCTGAACAAGAAAGGTCTCACTAGTTTAAGAGAATTCCAGATGTCCTTTCAACAGGGTCCCACCACAGCTCACCATGTCTTGGGCAACTTATCAAGCAAACTACCTTGACGGACATTAGTACGGAGACGATTCCCGGCCATTGTAAGTTTCGGCTTGGGCAAGGGCGCTGCTGTGTCAAGAAACACTCCAACCCGTAGGATCTGCTTGAATCGGCTCACTGCAGTTTGTGCTGGGTGGGTCAAACCCACATGAGCCCTCTCCCGCGCAAAAAATCGTCCATCCGTTTTGGAAGGGTCGGTTTTGGGAGCAATTGTTTTTGGGAGTTCGAGGCTCGAGGGACCGTTTTTGGGAGCGCTTTGTTCAACTCCAGAAAGGGCCTTTTGGGGAGGGATCCGTTTTGCGAGAATGTTGTTCAATTCCAAAGCGGCTTTTGTGGAGTTCGCGGGAACCGTTTTGGGAGCACTTTATTCAATTCCATAAAAAGGTTTTGGGCAGTTTGTGAGGCAGGGGCAAGGCCAAGGGAATTGTGATAT